CCTCATTCATACTCAGATTTTAGAGTATCTTGCAGCATATCTTTGCTTGGATGTGCATAAGCCCTGCACAATCTATTACCTATCTCCTGCAACTTATGTCCCAAAACTCGTACAGATTAGCCACGTTGTTGATATAGGTTGTGCATTTCTGTTAAGATTACATTAGCTTATGCATTAGATATTAATAGTCTGTTGTTTCACGCAGCTCACCATAAGTCCTAATGTAACGTTTAGCTTCTCCTGCTGTTCTTAGACATAATATATCAACTTCCTGGGCATCAGTCCAGCCTGATATTCTAGCTGCTTCATCTAAGGCATCGATAAAGCTTTTTTCATTCATTGTTTGGTTTTCTGGTCCAATTTCCAACAATGAATGATGAAGACATTTCAACAGCAGCAGCCAAGTTTCAGAAGATTTATTCAGATGACATAGAGCCTGAATTTGTGCCATAAATTCTTCACTTTAAAAACTTTGTTGGGCAATTTGATGAATTCAGGTACAAGCATGAAACACTGGAAGCTTCTGATATCTACACCCTTGTAGTAAACAATAGATTAACTTCTTCATTCCCTAATGTTGAAATAGCACTATGGATTAGCACTATGAATAGCACTTGTGTTTACTGTGTTTTAGGTAAAGTGTACACTGTTCATTCCAGCCAACATGAGTGTTTCTTTTTAAGAATGTTGCTGCATGAAGTTAAAGGGCCTAGATCTTTTGAAGATCTTAGAACAGTTGATGGTCATGTTTGTGCAACATTTACAGAGACATGCTACAAACGTGGAATGCTAGAATATGAAAATCAATGGGATGCCACCTTAAGAGAAGCAGCCATATACCAATCCCCAAAGCAGATAACAGATTTATTTGCAATTCTGCTAAAAAAAACTGTGATGTAGGCAACCCTTTAGAATTATGGAACAAATACAAAGATGATTTGGAACAAAATTATAAGCACCAAGCACAACTTACCAACCCACACATTGACTTAGTTCACACAGATGAAATCTACAACAGAGCCTTAATTGACATAGAAGATAAAATAGCATCAATGAATGGACCACAACTACCTTCATTTGGCCTCCCACAAACCAATAGAATAGAAGTCAACAATTTAGCTACAGAGCTTATAAGAGAAACATCATATGATATCAACTCTTTAACTGAATATGTAAATGAAAATGAGCCCAAGTTGTTGCCTGATCAGAGAACTACTTATTCAACTATAATGAATAGAATCTCTCAGCAGAATGGGGGCATCTACTTTTTGGATGCTCCTGGAGGTACTGGAAAAACATTTGTCACAAATTTAATACTGGCCAAAGTTCGCAAGCAAAATAAAATTGCTCTAGCCTCTTCTGGTATAGCTGCTACATTGTTGCCTGGAGGTCACACAGCTCATTCTGCATTCAAACTTCCTTTGGATTTAGCTACCAATGATGAAGCTGTTTGTAAAATTACTAAAAATTCTGGCATGGGAGAGGTTTTAAAAGATGTGAACTTATAGTCTGGGATGAATGTACAATGGCCCTTAAAAAGCATCGGAGATCTTGAACAAAACTCTACAAGATGTGAGAAACCACAAGACATTGATGAGTAGTGTAACAGTTGTCTTTTCAGGAGATTTTCGCCAGACTCTGCCAGTTATGCCTAAGGTAACAAAAGCTGATGAAATTCGAGCGTGCCTTAAATCTTCCTGTTTGTGGCACAATGTTAAAACCTTGAAGCTTACAACCAATATGAAAACAAGAATTTATGGTGATCGCAATTCAGGCCTATTTGCTTAAAACTTGCTACAGCTTGCCAAAGGAAAAATTCCTGTGGACCATGACAACAAAGTCATTATATCTACAATCAACACAGTAGTTCAAAGTGTTAATGAATTAACAGAAAAAGTATTTACTAACTTTTGTTATCACTACAAAGACTTTACTTGGTTGTGTGAAAGAGCAATATTGGCACCGAAAAATGTGACATTTAATTCTATCAACCAACAACTACTCCAAAATATTCCAGGGAATCCTTATATTTACAAATCAATTGATACAGTTATCAATCACAATGAAATTGTCAACTATCCAAAGGAGTTTTTAAATTCTTTGGAATTTCCAGGATTGCCTCCTCATTAACTACAACTTAAAGTTGGAGCTCCTATAATGCTTCTACGAAATTTAGTTCAGCCTAAGCTCTGCAATGGTACCAGATTAATAATAAAGGCATTACAGTCTCATGTCATTGAAGCACAAATTCAAACTGGTTGTGGCAAGGGTGAAGATACTTTTATTCCTAGGATACCTCTAATAACATCAGAGATGCCGTTTCAGTTTAGGTGCTTACAATTTCCAGTAACATTAAGTTTTGCCATGTCGATCAACAAATCACAGGGACAAACAGTGAAAGTTGTTGGGCTACAATTACATGATAGAAAATAGTTGATAGAAAGTTAATTTTTTCCCGAAAGTCTTTAGATTCGCTTTGTGAGTTTTCTAGGTTATCACAAAGGTCAAGCTAGTTAGTTTCTTTTAATGTTTTATCTTATTTCTGCATTTAATCTGTTTATTCAGGTTTTAAGGGTGAGGTCACGTGAAATGTAATGTTGTCTTCTGAGACGTCTAGGTTCTATAATTAGTGTGTGTATCTCAGGAGTTAATGTCCAGTGAGTTTTTAAATGTTGTCTTGAGACTAACGGGTGGTTTCAGCTGTAGCTTTACTCATAGCTTTCTTTATGTTTTCTACATATGTGTCTAGTTTATATTTTTGTGGGCAACACGGTTTACTTAAACCTACCTAAAATTTTGCTAAACTTTCCCTTCTTAAATTGCCAGTTTCCCACAGATGTTTACTCTAAGCACTATAGATAATGGTAGTGTAACGATACTTCCTTACCCTCCAGTACTTTATGCTATTGAAACTAATACATAATAACATTATTTTTATAACTTTTGCCAATAACAACATATTTTTAAATTTAAGTGCTAACTTTAATCTTGGTACACGATGGCTAACTACTCTCAATTTATATCAGAAATTTAAAGCATTACCTATATTGAGTAACTTTGGATGATTGATCCAAACTATAAAATATGTTAGGTCATCAAACTCCAAGGCAATTCTTGGCCTCACGCACATCACATACTCTTTTGGATGTTCCCACCCAATAAGACAGGAAAAGAGACATGCGAGTACTGAAGGTCTCCCTTTCTTGAAGAGTTAACTTCCACAACAAACTTGAAAACTCTGAACTCACTTTTGTATACTCAACACCAGATAGCATACTAAACTATCAATTCAACAACCAACCATACCAAGAATGGTAACACCGAGTCCAATTTGACCTCTTGTAAATACCCGAGTAGCTTCCACCTATTCACAGTCAGCCACCAAAGAAAAATCATCATGTTCCCAGCCCCAAAGACACGAAACAGCCTGAAGCAAGTAGAAAATTTTTGAGGAAATTTTACAACTGCTTCAGGCTTTCATTAGTTGAAAATGAATAAAACAGAATTTAAAAGTTTTAACAGTTCTTTAAAGTCTAAGTAAGTAATCAAGGATATATAAAAAAGAGGCAACAAGAAGACACCGGTGTTGTGAAATAAGCTTGTGAAATGAGCTTGAGAACTATTAAAGAAGGTCAGAAACCGAGTTACGTAAGAAACATTGCTTAGAAACAAGATGAGTGCACTAATATTTGTGAAAGGTTGATGGATTATTGACCTCAACCCCTTAGAACTAGGAAAGCTACGAAAAAGTTTGGTTTAGTGAGTAATATTGGCACTTTGAGGTGATGTCAATTACAGAACATGGATGTAGCAGTGCAAATTAATAGGTGGCTGACTAACACCAATTATCTATAACCAATTACTTGATTATGGTTCTGGTTCTAGTTTTGGATTAGCCATTAAGAACATGGGACTACTTGCGGGTGATGCTGTGTCCTATTTAGTGAGTCAAGCTAATACCAAGAAAAGTTAGTTTAAAAACCCATGTCAGAGACTGAAAAATCAGTTCTCCCAGGAGTTCCTCCAGGAATCAGAATGTTCTGAAGTACCTAGGAAAGCTGAACTATGAAGATGTCAAATGGGGCTAAAACTCCCAACAACCCAACTCTACTGTATGTATAATCTCTCTCTCTTAATCAGCTACTGTTAGAACTAAAGTAAATATTAAATGTATCTAAGTAAAAAGTGTTTAATGCCAGTATATAAGTAGTTAATCCAGTGTGACTAAAATTTAAAGTTTGTTATGTTTTTTGAGAAGTTGTTAAATGTTTAATAAATGTTATTATAAGTGTTCACCATTGGCCTGAGACTATTTCTTTAGTCTAACTGTAAACTAGCTTATGGCTTCACTCGTAACGACAAATCCTCCAATAAATAAATTTGGTGTAATGAGTAGTTTTAATTGAAACTCCAACAATTAAGCCCACCAGGGCGCTACTCATTACAGCTGGCGCAGTCTCGATGGTTTTTGGAGTAGCTAACGACAGGTTTGATAGAGTAAAGAAAGCTGACAAAAGTAAGAAAATCAGCTGAAGTACTATAAGTAGTGTAAGCTAGAAATAAGTAGCTATGGCTACTGCTGGTGTAGATACGACTAGAGAAGAGGGTGGTGCATGCCCTAGAGTTGATAGAAGGGCTGATGCTAACCATGAAGCCACAGTGGAGCAAACCACACAAATAGGGCCACACGGCACCACACACTTAACAAGTGCTGTACCACTGTATCACGAGAGTGCAAATGAGGATGTCCATTTTTATATGCTGCAATGCGATGAGGAAGAGCTGAGCATAACTTGTCTATGATGGGTAGATATGTTTCCACCTTAAACTTCTGTCTTCCTCGCAAAGCAACATTTTCAGCATTACCATCATTGATTCTTTTTTGTTCGTCACAGTATTCTGTATTTTCTACTTTGTCTTTTGCTTTATTTTTCAAACACTTCAAACTGATCTCGCTGCGACATCAAAAAATCCAGTAGAGATTTAAGAAGTTTAATAGCTTATTGAAGCTCCAGTGTTTCATGTTGAAGTAATTTGCTGACTTGATTGAACCTCTCTAGTATGACAGCCCAGAAGTCTGCCAAGAGAACTGTTTCCAATTTTGATAGCTGCTTGAGTATAGTGTTTGCTTCATAACGTGTGTCAACCTTCTGATTTACATCTTCTGAGATTAACTTCAAAGCTTCTTGAAAATAGCTGTACCTTTTAGACAAGGCTTTTGTGGCATCGGCCCTTGTAGACAATATAGCATCTGATGCTCTTTTAACTACCAATGTAGATTCACTTCCACTTTCAGCTTTAAGGCACTGAGGTATTACTGACCAACGCTGAGTTGAACCAGAAAAGAAATTGTAAAGTTTTTGTATAAGACCAAAGAATGAAACTGCTCCAATGCAGCTTTCCACAGCACAAACACCTACCAAATTAAGGGAGTGTGCAGTACATGGAATGTAATGGGCAAGATGATTGATACTGAGAATATGTGCTTGAAGCCCTTTGTAGCATCCTGACATATTTGATGCGTTGTCATAAGACTGTCCTCTTAAACTAGCTACATCAATTCCAATTTGCTCAAAGAATTTCAAGACAATGTTGGCAAGAGCTTCTCCAGTGTGACTTGCAATGGGAATGAAAGCAATAAAACGTTCAACAATCTTATGATCTGATTTTCCGACATAGCAAATAACTACAGTCAGCTGATCAGTGTGAGATATGTCTGGTGTTGAATCAGCACTTAGAGAAAAGTATTTGGGTTCCTTGATTTCTTCTACAATGGTTTTCAATACTTTGTTTCCCATAATCTCTATGACTTCCTCACATGTTGTTGAAGATTGATATGAAGCTTTTCCTCGTCCTTGATTACCATATTTTGCTATATGAGAACTAAGAAAAGGATCATACTCAGCAAGTAATTCAAGTATCCCAAGGTAGTTGTCATTCTGTCGAGAATTAAGTACTTCTGTATCACCACGAAAGGTTAATCCACGAGATGAGAGAAACCTTACAGCTGAAACTACTCTTTGCATTACTTTTCCCCAGTATCCTTTTTACTTTGTGAATTGGATTTCCAATATTGAATCACTTCGTCCAAGTGGATTTCGTCTAGAAATCGATGTCATCATACAGGTCCGATGTCCAGAACTGTTCTCATGTTCTGTAATCCCTGTAGTCTCCAGTGTAGTTTCCAGTCTGAAAATCCACCAACGTAAAACTGGGTTTTTGATCCATGTATACTCTCAAAGAGAATGCAAGCAAAACAATATACATTTCTTATTGAGGGAGAATATATTAGCCATTCCCATTTAATATTCTCGCCAGTTATATGTTTTCGGAATATCGATGAACGAGAAAATTTTCTTTTCTGATTAGAGTATTGTCTTTCGTATAAAGAAAAGTCATCATCATGGTGCTGGCATTAAACGGGACCTTGTTTACACCAAAAGTCACGTACCTTCTCTGTTATATTTGAGTTTGTCATATTCCAGGTCATCTTTCTTCTGGTGGACAAGCTCAGGCTGCTCAGCATCAACTCCTGTGACATTGGTATCATCAGAGACAACTTGAACTTCTAGTGCCTCTTTCATGTTGCCATCATAATCACTGGATTTAGATGCATTTGTTGTCTGCTCTGTTTGCTGCATTGCGTTTGAACTCAAGATCAAATAAGTTTGGACATTTACTGAGCAACTACTTCTTCATGCTTCCGCGTCTTCTCTTGTTGTCTTTTTCTTTTGCTTGCTCCACTCTCAAACCTCTTTTTCTCCGACATGATTAATCTGAAAGGGTGAAAAAATTGCTAAATACTGATTTAAGGGGACGTCTCATCGTGGAAAAAGACGACATATGCTTTTGGCCATAATGTCTAATGAAGGAGAATTTAATTCTTTGCAAGAATCAGTTGGTCTCAGTTTAGTTATTATTTGCATAAAAAGTTATTTATGTTATTATAACAAAAAAGGGGGCGTTAACCCCTTGGTTCAACTCCAATAACTTTATCGTCACTGGAAAGCTCGTAAAAAATACTATCGGAATTGGCAAGTTATCCTTCCTTTTAGCCGTTTTTTTTTCGCGATAAAATCAAAGAAATCCAATTTTCAGGGGAAACAAAACAATTTAAGTCTAAGTAGGTCCTAGGCTCCTAGCCTCAAATCAACGTAGGCCTTAACTGGCCGAATTATTGAGCATAATAAATAATAATACTGATTAAGGAAGGTTAATACTTAATAACACACTGGCAAAATGCACATCATTAATATTGAACTTAATTCAGCCATCGTTAAAAAATGGTAAAATGAAAATCATATAAAAAGGAAGGTAGGCCTTTGCCGCTAGGCTTGACAAGTTGACACAATGACACTATACTATAAGGCCTTAGCAAATCGAATAACGCTTGCCTTATAGGGATCCACTCTTAAATCTCTATCGAAAATTAATCACAATAGTCAACAGTTCATCATATACGTTGCGTAATAGCATACTATAATTATAAACTTACAGCAGTAGCTGTGAACACCAGTGTCAGATCTCAAAACAATAAAAAATGCCTTTAGAGAGAACTCTTTGCAGGGAACCAATAAAACCGTTATTCATATTATAAAGTCTGTATGACATCACAAACCGTCATACGATATGTAGGCTATACAGTACAGTGTTTATTTCTGCCTTATTATGTCTACTACAAATATATATATATATGCAGTATATTAATTGAACCCTTTTTAAAGAGATAAGTTAGAATACTTATACTTTGATTCTACATTCATAAATGAAATAACTTTTCCCTTAAACTCTGGAGGCTCTCCAGCTGGCGGAGGGCCCCTGGGCTGCAGCCCCGAAAGCCCATGGCTTAATCCAGCACTGCCTTGATGTAACGTTGATTTTGTTTTAGGCATATAGAAATAGTAACAAAGTACTATTTGATGTTACTAGTTTCTGTGGTTAATTGTTTCTTGTTGTACTCCGTAAAGGGTAAAGGTATATAAGACGGGAATTTTGCGCAGCCTTTTAATTTTTTTATTTACATTTATTGGACTCCTTTTTATCCCATCATTGTTGAAAATTATAAAAATTACCAGAAAACGTTTGTTTTTATATTTATAACTCATCCATGAAAATGTCACATTTCATATACCGTCTGCATTAAATTTTCACATTCTATCTTTTATCATTGGAAATATCAACAAATATTACCACAGCATCATGAAATCCTTTGGGTATGAACACAATTTTTTGCACAAGTATAACTTGAGCTATTTAAGTCCCAGAAACCACATCCCCGACATTGCGTGTACATAGCATCCCACCATTCTTGTGCCTGCGCAATACCATGTTAATATAAGTGAATCACTCTAACTGTCATGTTGAATCCAATAAGAGTATACCTCGCGGGAAACATAGTGGTTCTACATTTTAGGATGGAGAGGATCACCCCTTTCAATAGTGAACTACACATTCCATAGTCCATCTTCAGATATATGGTATTGTGTGTGTGTGTGTGATATTACCTGCTTCAGCTGGTATACTTCCAGTGTCAGCGCTCACAATCTTTCTTCAGATAACTGTGAAATTCCAAACCTGTCTATACCTGCTTCAATCGTTGACCTCTTTCACGTTAAATCTTTGGATTGTACAACCTGTTAGAGTTTGTTGTTGAAATGTTTTACCAATTGGAGCATGCAATGACAGAGGCGTAGCCGGGATGGGGGGGGGGAGTCGAACGATCACCCCAATATTCTAAAAAGCCTAAAAGGTCCACTATATTCTAATTCTCTTTATTTGAAAAGGCTTATCCAAGGCCTTTACAACTCAGGAGCTTATTATGTGAAGTAAGTTAAACATCTCTCCGTTTTGGCTCTCTTAAGTTTTTTGTATAGAAGAAAAGGTCCACATTTTTTTAAACGATCCTCTACATACACATATACGCTCTGTAGTGCTAGCTACTGCGGTTCTGAAATGTGCAACAGCAAAATAAAATTCGGTGTTTACAAGAACATGTCGATAGCAGTTGCAAAGAGCATTGACCATTCTTCCACAATCACCAATAAAATTAATTTACAATTTGGTAAACAGCAAGTCGGGTAGCTTCCATCGTTTTATGTGACGATTTATTGCTTCAAACACAACCCCAGTGGCTCAGTGGTAAGCCTGAGAGTTTATGCTCCAAAAATCGGGGTTAATAGTGTATATCTTCATGCTAGTAATAGGCTATGTTTATACAGAAGTCTGTGAATTCTCCAGCTATGTATTATCGTAAAATTGTTAGTTGGATGGTTCCATAACAGTTCTACCATTTTCAACCTGTTTGCAGAGCACTTGTAGGGTTTCTAGTATTGGTATATTATACTGAAGAAGTTTGGTACATCAAAGCTGATCAATGTGTCTTGTGTGGTTATCATGGTTGCTTTTATAATATCCACTAAGTGGATGGATTCTTAATGTATGAAGATGTTTTTATCTGTTAATGGTCTACAAGATACCAAACTAAAGGGTGTCATTGTAAATTTCTGCAGTGAACTATGGGATAAAGAGGGTAGCTATCCTTGTGAATTTTAAGTATATTCTAAGTGTATGCAGCGTACTATTAGTCGTTTGTCTCTATTCAATATTAATTTTTGATTTTTCTTGTTGAGTTAGTTAATCTTTTTCTCTCTCTTTCTCTGAATTAACTGTTGGGTTAAACATGATCTTTGTGTGGGGGCAATATTCCTTTCGATTTTGAGATTGATGATGTATTCCTCTATCTGCTAGAGATACACATTTTAACTTGCAACAGGGAAATTTATGAATTTGGTAGTACCTTACCCAACACTATAAATGTTCTCGTCTATGCAAAATTCCAGTCCATCTTAGAAGTTGAATCAACCTAGAAACAACATAACTGATATATAAAAAGCAATAAACATTATAGAAATTTATTTGATACTCTCACACGTGTATGTGAAAGAAGCTTGAAGGTTTGTTTGCCAGTGATCTATTACCTGACTATGCAGAAAAACAACTGTACATCATTAAGCTGGATCCAAATTATAAACCTGGTAGCCACTGGGTCTGTATTTGCTTTTGTTTAGTGGAGAAATGAAAATATTTTGATCCATTATGATTGCCTCCACATAAATTCAACATAAGAAAATTCATCAAGAACAATTGTCGAATGTGGACTTACAACAAAAAGTATTGTAAAGACCATATTCGTCTGTATGTGGACAACATTGTATATATTATGCTTATTACTATTGCAACATGTGTCAAAACGAAAACTGCTACCTACATTTAGATCCCACAGAGATATTAATTATATGTTTGTTCATTATTTTGTTGCTAAACGTTTTCAGTTAAATACATCCTTAATAGATGTCATTTTTATGTAGATCAGATTGCAAATTTTTTATTGTGAGAAAATAAGTGTTAAAATGTGTCAAGAACTCTCTTCTTTTTATACTAAGCTTATACAATAATTAAAAATGCAAACAGTAAAAAATTCAAATAACAGTCTTACTTGTAACTTTGTAGGACATATAATTAATTATAGAAGTGAAAAACTACAATGTTGATGATGTATGTTAACACTATTTTTTAGCAAACCATCAACCACACGACCATCTAGCAACATATCCTTTGTACCTCTTTGTGGAACTCTGACTTCTAGCAACACTCAAACTGTCACCTCCTTCCAACTGCGCCATCTGGTGCCATTTCGTGGAACTATGACGTAATCGCTTCTGTCACCCCTATGATGTCACTGTGTGGACGTCATCATCTCTACCTTATGCCTAAGACAACTAATCAGCGAGTGCGTCTGAAGTACCACGTTAACTACTAATTTATATTCCTGTAGATTTTCAGAAAAAAAAAAAAAGACTAAATGCTGGATATGATTCCTACAAAGTACCCTACCATGGAATCAGATATTGCTTGATAATAAGCTAATTATCATCTTTCGCAAGTGCGAGAAAACAAGCAGAGGTGTCACATACAGTAAAAAATTACCGTGTGGGATTGAAGTGGAATCACAAAAGTCGTAACAGTGACGTAAGTATGCCCTCGCAATTGGGAGGGGACGACGACCACGAAAGGCCTGACCAGATTTGCCCACAATGGGAATAAATGTAGGGAACCTAATTACTTTTTATACAGGGGAGAGCATCTTTTGCAGTTACACCACTGGTCGTAATGATAAGTGTATGTGTGGAATCCTAAAAAAATAAACTATTCCTGTCCTGGAATTTGTAGTTGTTTAACTTTTGTACGTTGTATTTCTATTTGAGAAAAATAAAATTTTAAACACCTCGAAATATAATAAAATATCCTATTTTCACATCGTATGCTGGATAAGGCCTAGAGACTCCAACTTTCAAGAAACATGTAGACAGCTTTCAAAGTTTTTCCTATTTGCTTGGTATAAGACATTGTTTCTTCTAATTTGTCTTGTATATTTGATTGAAAAGAAAGATTGTAGTTTCAGTTTTGTTGCACAACTTATACTAATAGCGATGATGCTAATGCTACTACGAGTTCCCACGTTTGTAGACGTTATGTGTAACCTATAACAAAAACAATATTAAGGTGAAAAAACGCCAAATTATAAAAATATCTCAGACATATAAGGATATAGAACACACAAATCCAGTTAGAAGAAGTAATTTAGGCAACCTTGTAATCTTCTATTACTTTTATTATTAATAGTAGTATTAAGATATGTTAACAAATGTATCATAATAACAAAACCGCAGATGGCAAAATAACGACAAAATGCTCTGCGTGGAAATGTAACTACTAATATGACTGTAATTTGGAGATACATATTTGGCACATCATTTTCCAACCATCGGCGCCACGGGTAATTTTTGCTAAAAATTATCAGCTTTTCGTAAACAGTCTTCCAACAAATTCTCGCGAATTTATTTACACTTTGAGTTACCTGTGAGAAGAATCAAGGCCCATGAAATTTATATTTCTTAATTCATTGCTTCACTTAAATCGAACGATATGTGCATAGGTATAGGCTGCGTAGCCATCATCTGGTCATTTTTTGTAATGAATTTCACTATTTGTCAACCAGTAGAAAGAGTGACAATCGCTTTATAACATCTCAAGATCAGAAAAGTTGCTTCTGTTTTCATACCAATATTTGACGTTAAGGCAGAATATTTGATATTCTAACATGTAAACTCCTGTGACTCAATGAGAGTAAAACAAAACATTAAATATACCGAACGATCCAGCAACATACTGACCAAATAATCAGAAATGGACAGGTACAGAAAAATAATGGTTAGTATTATGAATTGAGGGGTTGTGGGCCTTACCTTGTAGCAGAATCATTAAGGTCAATCAATATCGTATCCTTCGATACTTTTATCAATATGTATCATACACCACAAATGTCCATTGAAAAGGTGTACACAATAAAAAATAATGTAATTTAAACTAGAAATTACCAAAATCTTTCCACAACAGATATAGACAAAAAGATTAAATATGAGGTAAGCATCATAACCATATTACGAAATGGTAGCAAACAATCAAGAGTTGTGTTCAAAGAACTGTCCAAGTTTGACAAATTCCAATATGTTAGCTTCATTCTAAATGTTGGTTGCTGTTCTTGGTCTGCTCGCACTGCGCTTATGCATAAATGAGTCTGTAGTACGCAGCCACTGACAAGTATTTTTCTATCATTTAACGTTCATCTGGAAACCGTTCAGCATACAGTCTGGCATCCTTGTGACACTCTCCATACAATAGGATCATGCTATTCTTCAACTCAGTACTCTGTCTTCATTTAGATGATCTGGAAGCAGTTGCAGCACAGTGCTTGTGTACTGCCTCAGAAAATTGTAGTGCATTCTGGAGGGATTTACACATTTTGATAATAAAGTTAGAGAAAAACGACCTTTACGTTGCAGATAAATATAAAAGAACTTTAACTGACGTTTCAACTTTGCAGCTTCTTTAGGGCTAGTACATAAAACTGTTTGATATTACAATATTCGTTAAAAGCAAAACGTCAGTTAAAAGTTCCCTTACAATTATCTGGATTGTAAAGGTTTTTTTTTTCTTTCTAAATTTATTATCAAGCCGTACTGCCTTAGGTAAAGGGCTTTCAAAACTTTTTATCCTTTTGCACCCTTCAAATGTGTAATGACCTTCTTATGAAAATTCTAACCTGCCACCTCAAACCTAGGTTTGAGTACCAACACTTGCTATGGTTAGATTTCGATCTTCTGCAGCACAAAACTCTATATTCATGGAAGGAGTGGATTTTTGCTTGTACCTGTTGTTGTTGAGTAGTAATTTTTGGTTTTAAAATGTTTCCTTTCTTGTCTACACCTCTGCTGTTGAAATTTTGGGTGTATGATGCATATTTATAGGATGTCTGAAGAACATCGCCTTAAATGATATTGTCATTACACCTCACTCAATACTGCTAACGATTATTTTCCTTAACTTCACCATTTCTGAATTATCTGCCTGTCAATGCCTTCTGAATCACTTTGTATATAACCAAGTATATTTTGGTTATTACAAAAATTGAGGATTTTTAATGTTTCAATAATTTTCACAAAACAGTCCCATCAATGAATGAACTTTATTAATCCTTTCAACACGTCTAAAGCTGTACAAAAATACACACACATTAACAATAAATAATTTGAGATCAATAAGTTTTAAATTATAACACCAGTTTAACTCCAATATTTAAAACACCACTATATACCATAAGTTCTAAAGTCTTAACACATTTCTAACAAATCCATAAAATACAATCGTGACAACAGCATTATACTTACCAGTTCGTACCAGATCTAGTTAGTTACTTTGTACAGTCTGGTTGTCTTTGGTTTAACTTTGATTGTGGTTTATGGAAGTATATGCCACAGCCTCAGTGATATATGAAAATGGTCAACTACTCATTTAATCATTCGTTATCTTTTTTCAGAAACAACTTAAAACTTAACCTAACTCTATTCTACTGGATCATCACGGAATTTAGTTATCCAATATTGTGTTAACAAAGTTATGTTATAAAATTGCTATGTTCACAACCAGATACACTCCACCACACATAACTTATCATGTGTTACAGGTTCACACTACCACTCAAGAAGATATTACAATTTACTATGCAGTACAACGACAACTTTAGGCTAGGATAACACATTAAACCATTCAATTGTATCTTACACTCAGAGTTAGACACATGCTCTTCCACACATAACTTTGCAGTGTTAAAAGCTCACCAAAAGTTAGTATTCCAAGATCACCACAAACTCAGCAATGTGAAACTTGTTTAAACTCAAAAGTTAGAAGTTCACTAACTGGTGCATATAGCTTGCTTTAGACTCACACAATGCAAGCTCAAAGCCACAAAGTTAGTATTCCAGCCTCAACAAATGTTCTAATAATAAGTTATGATGTTACAGATTGATTTTATACTCTAACAATCAAAAGTTTCTTAGTGTTACATCACCACAAGTTCTTAAAGCAGTAACATACAAGTGCTGTCAGACCCTGCCAAGCTAACTTTCTTTTATAAAGCTACTACATGAACATTACACAGCTATAACTTCAATAAACAGTAGAAAGTCCTGTAGCTAACAACTTACAAAACAATCGTGGTACTGCTCTTTCTACACTAAACAACAGGGAATAATACAATTCACTTTATATACAATGCAGAGCAGAAACAGTTAAAGCTCTCAGAGCTGTAACTTTAAAACCAAAAAGGCATCAAAGAAATGATCTAACAATCTAAACATGCTGCATTAAAAATAGTGAATGACATTACATCAGATCCTGCAAAAGTGCTAGCCAACACAAAGTCTACTTGTGCTGTTAGTACACTGTATTATGTGAAGAGGAAAACTTAAGTCACATGGATTTTATATAGATTATTATATTTTTAAATTTAAAAATATATTGTTAAATCACTGGCTGAACATGTAGCCTGACCACAAGTTCTCAAGTGTTTTACCTGCTGTAAGTTATCAGGATTATAACATCTTAAAGCACTTACTGGAAGATAAGGTGTTAAAGTGGTGTGCAGAGACACTGCAACTAAAGTACATCAATTGAAAAAAGTATTTTCAGTGGAATGAAAAACCCATCACACACCCTACTTGGATGCTGCTTCCTTCAGATTCAACTTTTTAAATGCTACAATAGAAAATTAACTTAAGTTACTAAAATAAACTGCCAATTAATATACTGTGATATTTATAGCACATCTGATACTATCCACAGCTACAGAGGTGCTACTCTTGTGAAATATGTCCACATACAAAACTAAAAAAAAAAGTTTCAAAAGTCCTGCTTTATATGTTCAGTGATGATTAAACAAAAAAAATACTCAGCTACCTGTAAAATAGTGTTGATTGATGTTCACATAAAGGTACATGAGTGCTATATGTACTAGCCATCGTAATCTTGAACCAATTGACAAGAGGAAGGCAGCTAGTCAATAGCATCCACTGCTAACTCTTGGGCTAATTTAATTGAATTGTAAGATTTGATCAGCACTGTTCACTATCATAACTCACCTACAGCCTCAAAATGCAGAGGAATGGTTTTTCAGTAACAGAAGGCAAACCATGCATCCTCAGATCCATACTACGGAATGCTAGCCACTAAGACATGCTCAGCTCAGTCTCTAAAATAATGATTGTATCGGGAAGTACAATTACCTCTATCTCCTGAATATATAAAGCTGTATTTTTACTTCATTACAAACAAAACTGATTATCTGAAAGACAAATGACTTGCATTTTAATGAAATTAACTAATGTCTGAATAACCTTAAACAACATGAAGTACAGGAGATTTCCTTGGAATGTATATACTTACAATCATTCTTCCAAAACAACTCATCCATTTTTTTGCTTGTTGTTAAATGTTCAAGACAAACACTCACATTACAAATCATTGTCTAAAACCCAAAGAAAAGTTTAGGAAAATAAAATGTATTTCAAAAAAAACTTAAACTAACAAACATTGTAAACTAAAGCTCACATTTTTTGTTATCAAAATTAATACTGTACACAAACATTTGATCTAACATATGTTTGAGCTATACAACATTCTTCAGCACTAATGATAAGGTTGTGCTTCTACTATTAACCTAAAAAAATATCCAATGAATTTAAGGTTTGAACTTTTTTTCCCTTTGTAGTTATACAGAAAATAATTAGATTAAGAGATTATAAAGCCCCTTGTCAATAGTTCTCATTGTGATTATTGGAAAAAAAAAGCAAATTGCCAATTTACATTTGTTTGGTCCCAGGGTACACAAAGAAACATACATTCTTACATCGAACTGATTTTATAAGTTTTACAAATATTCTCAAGCCCAGTTAACTTAAATATACAGTTTACAAACTATCATTCTCAAGCCTAGTCAACTTAAATATACAGTTCAGAAACTGTCATTCTCATACAAAGTTAACTTAAGCATACAGTTCACAAACCAACATCCTCCAGCCAAGTCAAATATTAATTACCTTTGTCATTTCTTTCTCTGTAGTCCTACATAATGTAACCTATAGTAGCTGAAACCAAAAGCATGTTAGCTTGGATCTTAAGAACCAGTTTATTAGAAGAATAGAAGCTTTTAGGTAAACTATCTAGAACTTAAGAGGTTTTCACTTTCAAAGATAATCTCTCAGGTTCTATTACAGGGTTTTTGAAACGAAATAAATTTAAAAGTATTCCCAGTTCCTGAACATACTGGAAAAAACAACAACATATATACAGACAAGGCATTGGATACCAATTCTGAGATTAAACTGGAATCAGATTTACAACTCTACCAAGTCCTATCTTGAATACAAAAGTTGTTTTGTCATTTTCTGTTTCACTGTGTAGCACTTTTTACAAGATAATGTTTGAATTCAACTGTAAACTGAATACATTAAAGCTAACAATATGTTTTTCTTTTTGTCCCAAAATGTTACATTTTGTTTTACTAGTGAAGCATCTGGCTTCATACATCTTCCAGCAGTATCAAATATTACATCAAGTTTCTAATGCCTAACAAACAATAAACTTGAATAAGCTTACAACTTTCAGGATTTATAATTAAGTGTTCTCCTGAAAGATTCACTTAACACAATATCCACAATATCAAAATAAACATACTTGGTCCCAAAAGGGAAGAAACACACTGGAATATTTTACACCTTTAAAACAAATATAAGTACGGAAATGGAATAAAAGCTATTTACTTTTAATAGTATATTAACAAAAGCTTATAAGAACTATTTTTTTTTGGTAGAGAAAACTGATAAATGGCAAATTTCTTTAAAATGTTCAATATAAGAAGCTTTTACAGAATCAATACTTGGATAAAATAACTTTTTAAAGCTGAATTGATGATTCAAAGTATTTTTGTATATTTACTTAAGTAAGAAATCTAAAGTATTCTACACTCAAAAAGCACATTAAAAATACTTATTACTGATGAGCAACAAGTAATCTGAAGAATACTGCACCACCACGATTCAATCAAATTTACATAAAACATGTATAGTAAGAATGATATTATACACAATAACATACCATTGATATTATACAGTTACACATCGTTATATGATTTTACAAGACAACATGCATAACAACATCTACAATAAACTTAGCAAGATATTACAGGTCATTAATTTGGTCTATTTAAAAGCTTAACAGCAATATGGAAATTCATAAATACTTCTTTAAATTCATGCTGTAAATTACAAGTTCAAAGAGTAGACACAAAACTTGAGGGTTAAAATACTGACCAATGCCTTTCATAGTTTTCATTATGATACAAATAGTTCAGACTTAAAAATGGTGAAAACTAACAATACAACAAGTACCAACAAGAAGTAAACGATTTCATAATTCTAGTGTCTACTACATAATACAGCAAAAACTATCAGCATTATGGCTGATATCATTAATTTTTATATGCAGCTACCATAAACAGGTATGTCAAAATTTACATTATTTCTCATCCAATCAAAAAGTACTTTGGAAATGTTTATCATCTGGTGGCATTATGCCTTCTTTTGAGTTTCTAAGCAAGGAAAAGGAATCAGTTTAACTATGTCATAAACAAATTAGCAATAGGGTTAGTAGATTTCAACACAACTACACTTCTCTAAACATTTAATAATCTCTATCCTAAATCAGTAGCCCTTTTACTGAAAATAGATTCTTAGCCTCCAGAAATTTAAGAATGTCAAAATATTATCTTTTAACAGTTGTCTTTGATTAACAATTTTTGTACATCAGAAAGCTGTTATATTGGCAGTATGTTTAGAACTTATGATGCTTTCAGTTCACAATACATTGCAAAAATAAAATTTTTTTATGTTTTAACACTGTTGTAATAAATACACAAGTAAACTACAATCTGTATTTTTCACTACTTCTACAATGCCTGAAAAAGCACATACTTTGTTTGAAAAGACTGTTACAATCAATATAAGAGTACATAACAATTTTTATTTTCATTAATATACTGTAACTAACATTAACAACATTTGACATGTCTGATAATTAAACCCAAAAGTCTGATTTTCTTAGATATTAATCAAACTTGTTAGGCTATACTAAGTCTTGATTTGTAATTCACTCCTATTCCTGTTAGCTACTAACACATTTAAAAAAAAACATCCTTTATCATGTTCATTTGTTACACTTTTAAAGATCATTAATTTAATATTTTTTTTAATATCTCTTAAAGAAAATATGCATATTGCTACCTAATTTTGACCTTGGCTTTATGAAACTCTCAAGTTCATGTCTACTTTCACATTTTAAAACATAAACATAAAAATGTTTTACTATTCTACTTTAAAAGACCAGAGGTAATCTTAATTTTCAGAGTGACATTGTGTGTACATATATATATATATATATTATTTTTTTTTTTTCAGTAAAAGGGCTCATGGTAGTAAAATACTTAATGCTTATTCATAAAACTTAGTAACTGTGGTAAGGTTAAAAAGGAAGACTAAAGTCCTGGTCAATTATAGATCAGTGTCGTACCAAGCTGCCACTTGATCAGGACTTTCATCTGGATGTGCTGATGAAACCATTGGTGTCAGTTCTAATATCACTGTTGAATCTACTGCTCCATAGTCATTACGTCCTCGTTCATGTCTCGGCCCTGTCACAAGAAAATGATGAGAAGTCATGATTAAACTCCAACATTATGATCTAAATTAAGCTTTATTTTTTCATACATTAAAGTTTTTAAAAGCCCCTTGATCTAAGTTACCCACAATTTCTCGCACAGAAAACTAACTGTTAACATTATAATGCAGCAGCTTCTATGGAGTCTGCACCTTACATTTACACTTTTATTATCTAAACAGTCTTGGAAACTGCAGTGAAAAACTTTTTTTTTACTTTACTCTCTTATAAAACAATAAAATACATGGATATAGAAAAGTAAATCAGCAGCTACACCACATGTCTTAAAACATATAAAAATGCATAACAATTTATAAAACAATTCCCAGAAACTACAATTTGCATTTCACAAAGAACACATTCAGACACTTTCTAACAAAATTTTGCAATCACCTTCTAAACAATGTTCAACTTACTGGTTTCATTCAGCTTTTATCTAATGGATAAAACTTTTATGTCAATTTTTATACAATAAAATACAAACAAAACGATAAGTACTTTCAATAATCAAACATCTGTAGCAATTACATATTCACAAAAGTGGACTTAGTTATAGAATAGAAAATTATTTATGAATTAAGAAATAATTCTTATAAGTTAATTAGAATGTTATCTCAAACAACTATAACTTCACAAAGGTTAACTGTAGGTTACAATGTAAAACAAGAGATGTTAGTAAGGCATGGCCTTTATTAACTCATTAAGGTAATTCATCTCTCACAACCACAACTTAGTAATTGAATAAGAAATCACCAATTATTGGCTCATAAAAACTTTTAAGTCCTGTCCTCACCCTTCTGTGTTTATAAGAAAATAAATTAATAAAATAGTCATCAATTCTGAATTCATTCCTCACCCTTCAGTGTTTATAAGAGTGATCTGTAGATTATAAGCAGACCCAGACAGAATACACAGCCACCAATTTTTTGATGAAAAAGTGCAGAATACACTTAAGCTCCAAGAAAATGCAAAAAAAGTAGAATTCCCAAGGAATTCAAATGATGCATGATGCAACAATTACAGAAGCTCTAACATAATCAAGCACTACATAGACCTTAAAAGTAGTAATAATGTAGTTAAATAAACTACATCTTTGTTCATACTCGTGCATTTGCAGAGTTCATTGCTCTGACAGTTGCATTTCTGGTTACACTGATGCACAATTTGTACATTATGATTAAGAATTAATGAGTCAATGACTAATAATGAAAGTGTCTTTGTTTTGGGACTAGTGTTTCTTTCATCAATGCTTGTTTCTAGTATGTTAACAAACGAATGCTTTTCCTGCCCAGATGCTCAAAAAGAACTTTCTAAAGATCTACATATTATCACAGTTAGGCAGTGTTGTGATTTTCAATTATTATTTCTTCTTTACTTTTTAAGCTAAATCTAATAATGTTTGCAGCAATAACATATTCTGAATCAGTGTTTCACATGGTAAATCAATTTTCCATATCCATTTGTTTTAAAAATATATATAAGTGGCCAAATTACAAGTAACAGAATATGTAGCTTTATTTAGTGCACTGAGTAGTTTAATTTAACTATAACCACTGGCTCAACAGACACAGTAGTACACAATGTTAACATTATTAGACTCTTAAAATGATGCGACTATATACCAAGAGAGAATTGAAGAAGTTTCATAGAATAAAATGTGAAAATGATGCTTATATCGAAATTCACAGCACTAAATGATTGTAATACCGAAAAGAGAAGATTGACTGGTTTAACAACGTCTCATTTTTGTGTACGTTTAGTTTGATTATTATACTTCTTATTCTCAACAGCAATTTGTAATAAAATAAATAATTCAGATGTTACTTTATAGTTGGGAATTGGTAGATAAATAAACTATTTTCATCACTTTAACAAGCACACTGTACATTAAAGTGTGACATGTGCTGATTGTAAAAATACATTAAACTGTTCAATTTTACTAAGTATCTTACAATTAATTTAAGATTTCAACCTTGTGGATAAACTTCCATTTTTGTTACAAAGTTTAATAAAAACAAAATATGTACATTCCAGTAAGTTTCATATTATTTTATGTTCATAAAACAACATAGCCTCCTACATAAAATAAAATGGCATATTTTCTACAGAATTTACATAAAACCTTCCAGAGAATTTCAAAAAATTTCCAGCACATTTCATCTGGGCCTGTTTATAAGGAGTAAGTTATTAAAACCAGTTATCTTTTTTGAAACCACTTCTCACAAATTCAACTTAATAAGGATGAGATGCACATCATGAAAAATTATGTATCTTTTTACATTAATCTTTACATTATCTTTGAATCAATTAAAATTACAAGGATTTTGAATCCATTTTTATCTATTTAACCTCAGTATTAAAGGATGGTCTGTAGATCAATAAAGATGTAATGTTAATAAGCCCATAAAGAAATGCTAGTTCACTGTTGACAATTACAACTTTATAAAAGATAATTACTGGTTATAGATAAACAAATTAGCAAAAACTGCATACCAGAGATTAAGCATCCTCAGAGATATAGAGCTCAAAAAAAGAAAAAAAGGTACTTGTTAGTACAGACATATGTCAACACAAGAAACAGACATAATACATGTTAACTTCTAGTGAAGTTTAATCAAAACACATTGCTAAAGAATTGGCACATGAAAAGCATTAAAAAAGAGTGACTTTAAAAGAAAGTTAAGTATGAATACAAACTAATGAGAAGTTAGTAACTGAAGTTCAACTTCATAGTAACATTATTTGTCAATTCAAAGTTCTGATTAAGTATCAATTCCAAAGCAAAATATATTTTAGTTTACACAAAACCATTAATGTGACAATTTTACAAAATTAAATTAACAATAAACTGCAAGGCAAAAAATAAGAAATATAACATTTGAGTACTGTAAAGCTGTACCTTGTCCTGAAATATTATACACATAATTTGAAAATTTCAAATGCTAAAAATTAATGACTTGTAAACTTTCTTTGAAATATTCAGTTGATCATGTTAACAAATATGCTGATAGATTTTTCTGTGTTGTTACAGTATACTTTCACAGAACTATAATACAAAACCAAGAGAATTAGCAATAGAGATCATCTTATTTAGTAGCTTACTTTGTTTAGGATAACTGCCATCAGCCCTGTCATCACCATACCTATCTCCCTGGTTTTCCAAATACATTTTGTTACGATACATTTCATCTGGGTTTCGAGGATTTGCTTCTCTTCCATGATTCTGCAAAAATTACATGAAGTATACCTATTACTATAATCGACAGATCTGCAAATCAAAAAAATAAACAAAGATTTATGGAATCCTCAGCATAAAATTTTGAGTTTCCAAAACCAATTGACAGAGTTTAAGGTTTTGTTAATGAAGCAGAAAGACTTCCTGAATAAATAAAAATATCATCCACTTACTGTTGGCCCCCAAGGGGCAGATTCTCTAAAGAGAGAGTTTGTCAGTTCAGCTGAAAGTCTCTTCTGATACTCTGGTGGCTTACCTTGGGACATTCTATACAACACAGCAGCTGCATACACAGCTGAAAAAAAATTGTACAATGTATAGTTGTACACCCATTCCATGATAAGCAATAAAGAATGAATGAAGTTTTCCAGTACATTATTCAAACAGATATATTTTTTAGTAACAGTAATACCTTACACACAGAAATCATCAAATTGCTACATATCATAACTATAGCTTGTAATTCAGTAACAAATAATACTCAATTTCCATAAAAGATTGTGAAATGTACAAATGACACAGTTAATCCCCCTAATTATTAACTCTCAAAAATGACAACAGACGAGCTTTCCATCACTATATCTGTAAAGTATAGCTGTTAACCAAACCTATTGTTGGAATACACATTGATGATGGTGATATATATTGCTTTCCTAAAGAGAAGTCAATAAATTATGCTACCATTAATATAATTCACCACAACTACTGCTTTACTTACCACACATTAAAAAGTACATATCAGTGTTAGCAAAATACACTGTGTTTGATGCCTTATCAAAAGTTAAATTTTCCTAGACAGAAAAAATATTTCCAACAAATACTTACACCCTCTCACATAACAGCTTTTCTTGATTAATGCTGCCCTCTATATCCTCAATTTTTTTGCTTGCCACCAGCCTTGATACTCCCACCTACCCCTATGTGTTTAATGTGGTACAGCTATGCTACAGCATGAGACAACCCTCCACCAACAGGAGAGCAACATACTCTCCTGGTGCAGCTGTCTCCCCTTGAATTACAGAGTTCACTTTGAGATTAGGCACCAAGAATAAAACACCAGAAATGGGAGGAAGTGTGGAAAGTGTGAGATGAAGTATGTATCTATTGGAAACACATTTTCTGTGTAGGAAAATTATAACTTCCGATACAATACCTTATCTCCACTACATTGTCACTAGATCAATTCCAGCCCAAAACTTTTGGAATTGGGAAAGGAACATCATGTCCCTGTTAGTAGAAGGGTCCTCAACCATCTATATTCAAATTGTAAACGGGAGGTCAACTCTAGTCCAAAACTGAGGATCTGGGAATGGTTCATCCAGTCCCTGATGTAAAATGTCTAGGGCATGTCGGATCATAATCTGAAGATCATCTAAAACCAGCTGAACTTGGAAAGGATAATCTGGCCCACAGTATGAAGGAGGTCCTCTACCATTCACCTCAGACTTAGGAACCAGGAGGGAAAGAGCACATTTGTTCCAAGAACCCAAACTCTCACGTGTGCATATCCAACATGATCAACACCTGTCATCCTGGGAACTGACATCCAGATGATAGTAGAAAGGTGGAATGCAATGTGGAGATACAACCAAATCCAAAACCACGCAGCAATGGGAATGTATCATCCAGTTCACGGTAGGAAGAGAGTCCCAGTGGATGTGAGGACTTATGTTGGCTGGTCCAGCTCTAATCCAACACCATACCACCCAGGAACTGATATCCAGGCAGCAGTAGGATGAGGGATCCCAGCTGGTGGAGTGAACTGCATTATGGTGGATCATCTCCAGTTCATGACCAAGCAGCTTAGGATATTCCACTTTATGGTGGATCATCTCCAGGCCATGACCAAGCAGCTTAAGATATTCCACTTTTAGTCTGCAGTAGAAGGAGGGTTATGCACCATCTACACTGGCATATCACCATCACCCTACTCTCAACTGAGTGGTATTGAGCACACTCAGGATGAAGCCTCCATGGTTCACCACCCCAATGGCTAAGGGATGGTAATTGGTAAGGACTCCTGTATTCCACTGGAAGAAGGGGGGAATGCACTGGAGTCTAAAAAAATGAAGCACCAGAAAAAGTGCAATTAGTGACCAGAAAACCCTATTTTTAAATGCAGGCCATTCCTGATTTATTCAATTGAAGGAGCAGCAGGGACAGGCAACAATCCCCTTCTGCTTTACTCATGCCACTCCATGAGTGTATGGTCTGGAAGGACATGTTTATGATGTAAAACACCTCATCTCAACAATGGGCATTAATGTCTTTAGTGGATGTACAATGCAGATTTAAGAATTAGTATACCTGGACAGGCATCACTTGAAACTGAGTGGGATCCAATCAGAAGCAATATAAAAGGAGCCTATAATAGAAATATTGGTAAGTAAAGTAACCTTACCATTTATGATTGCACTATACTGTGTAACACTAGAACAGGTAGCAGACAAAAATCCAGTTTGGGAGAAGACAGTCAAATAATGTAGATAATGTGAAACAAAAGCGTGAGGAGTGGTCCACATGCCAGGTCGAATGTCAAAAACGAGCAGCCAAGGACATGGTGAGATGATGGTCCTGAACCTCCTCAGAAAGTCACTGGCTGGATATGGGATCCTGAGGAGGAGGGAAGGGAAATAAGGGAGGAGGTGTGCAGATAAGAAGAGAGAGAGTCCTACTGATAAGACCTGTAGAATCCAAGGATCTGTAGTAAACATTCTCCATTAGGGGACAAAATTGTACAGTCTGGCCCCTACCGGTTCTGTACCAACCAGATAGTCACCAATATCATTGGCGACAAATACTACAAAAATTTCACTCTGAAACCAGAGCAGAAGGGAAGGGCCAGAATACAGGTATAGAAGCAGGGGAAGATTGAGAATGGCAAGTGGCCAGAGAGGATAGGGAATAATGGAAATGGATTAACTACACACAAAGAACTCAGGGATAACCCAGAAAATGGACCAATCCAAAATGAGTACCATGCATAATTCTCTTAGCTCTTTCAGCGCAATCAACCTTGTAACCATTTTGTGCTTGTTATGGTTTTCATTAATAAATTAAAAAAAGATTGTTAATGAAATTTGGCAGATTATCAGTTAACATTACAATGCTTTCACACAAAAAATATCAATTTTTTTTATTAAGTCTTAAGGTTTGTAAAGACATTTTTTTCTCATGTCTTTTTAAATTTCCTCATGTTGCCTATCATGCAAAGTAATATTCATTTCAAAATTAAAAATACTTTTATGCATCAGAAAATTTTCAAGTTTCACATGCAAAATCTTTTTTTTATAATGTCCAGATAGTTATCAAACATTTCTTAAGAACAAACTTTATATTTTATCTGTTATTTTCAGTAATTAATCTGTGTGTACGGGTTCGATAGATATGACCAATCTCACAATCACCATAAAAAATTATGAAATAAATATAAATTATGTCTCTTTCATTCTAGAATGAACACAAATTATAACACAAAAACAATTTTGTTTAGACAAAATAGCTTAAATCTCACAACATTATACATTTATATATATTTAATATTTTTATTATATTGACCTTTCAGCCGTGCCTGGCTAACAATACACAAGTTACAATCACGCGCCTCACATGCACTCAAATAACATGAAACTGACCTTTGGTCTGTACAAAGTAACTTGTCTTGGCTGTATTTTAGTAGGGTAGTACTGTATTTTGTAAAATACAGTCGCATGTCAACTATTATACACTATATATGTATATAGATTATTGCTCTTTTGAAATAAGTTCTTAAACTTATTTTTCTTAAAACATAGAACAGTAACTAAAGAAGTAAAGCAAACAATTAGCTCTTATAGTTACGACCTTTGTACTCGGTTGCTGCTTGACGTAGGTTGCTAAGCCTTTAATTGGAATAACTAAAAAATCATAAATTACTACATTAATACCACAGAATTCCACTATAATTTATCAAGCTTAGTAACCAAGATGTATTTTAGTCTAAAAAAATATGAAATTTCAAGCAGACTAAAGACATACCATACCTCGTTTAAATATTGGTTGTAAAGAAAGAAATGGTGCCAAGTCCATTAAAATGGCTGAGAAAGCCACTAGGGGGACATTCTGAGCTTCTGATTGGTTATTCATGTCATATATGAAAGTAAGTGTTTATAAGGGAGCATTTCCAAAAATTTAAAAAGGTGGGCAGGGGGCACTGTGTTTGATTTATTACATGAGCAATATCTTGGAAATTTGAAAAGATTAGAGGTTCTTATTTTATATTCTAGCTTGTCAATATTGGTAATTTGAGTTTCTAATTTGTAAGAAACTATAGACTTAGTATTTTGACTTCACAAACATCTAATTTCAACCAGTGCTGCATTCAACATACCATGTGACACACAAAAATCTACGTTTATCTGTGTTTTTTTAATATTTGCTTTTAAATTAAGAAACTGAGTAATATATAGTAACAGAACTTGAATTATAATCTGCAGGTTGATACCAAAGTTATTGACATAAATTCATGAAATAGTATTTCAATAAAATTTTGAATGTGAGTCAACAAATGAGATGACATGGCCTTTCACCCGTGACCTATTGGTGGAGGGTTGTTACATGCTTTTGCATGGTACAGCACAGCTGTACAATGTGGGGTAGGTGGGAGTATCAAAGCTAGTGGTAAGCAGAATAATAGAGCATATAGAGGACAGAATTATTCAAGAAAAGCTATTGTGTGAGAGGAGGAGGTAAGGTATTATATTGGAAAAATATACCGTTGATCTTAACAAATGTTTCCTTGAGCAAATACTCAAGTTATTCTGTGTTTTATCAGTGAAAAACAAGTGATGACCTTACCTACAGCTTCATTGCTGGAGTACAGTAAGTCACTCAGTGGAGCAGTAGCACCTTCTGCTTCAACTTGTTCTGCTCCTTCCTTATCAGCAGAAATTTCGCAAAGCACACCTGCAGCCACACGTTGAACATTTTCAATGTCACTGTATAAAAGCTGAAAAAAATTAAACTCTGTTACACACTTCAGCAAGTTGTTGCTGTTTAAACATCACTGATTTCTATACAATACTCACAAAACAAAAAGTTTTAAAGATCAGTGTGTCATTCACTAACTACAGTCAGTGTGCCCTATGAGAAACTATTCATGTCAGAAAAATTAATAAAAGTTCCACCCAGGCATTTTTAGTAAGGTGACAAAGACCAGTTATTAATGCAGAATAAACTATCTTTAAACTATCTAGAAGCAAAAAACACGAGTAGTGATATATAGCTAAATCTCAGGAAATTAACTAACACACTTATCAGTGAAAATACACTTGGAGAACTTGAAATAAAAAAATTTGCTTTCTCTAAAACTGAACTACTAGGTTTATTTAGTAAAAAAAGATGTTAAAATAGAATATTTGTTATACAGCATAAAATCAGAAGGAGAAAACGAAATTTTTGAAAAAATAAATGTGCTTATCACAATTGTATAGCTCAAGTTTTATAAAGCAAAGTGCAAATGAAATGTAAAAGGGTCTATTTATAATGTTTCCCAAAGTTTTAGATTAGAAAGGCTTAAGCCTGGTAAATTAAAAATATTGTGTAGAATTATTAAAAGTTTAATAAAAACTTGTTATAATCTTACTATATAAATAAATGTACATCTACCGATGCATATACTGAAAAAAGTTAACATTTTCTAATACTGAAAATTAATTATGATAAATACTTACCTTTTCTCACACATTAGCTGTTCCAAATTTTGTATTGCCTTCTAAATGCACAATTTTTTTGCTTGCCATTAGCCTTGTGGCTTCCATTTAAACTCACATGTTCCCATGTACTACTGCTGTGCAGTAGCATTCAAATGAGCATGCAACAATCCTCCATCAACAGGAGTGAGACGTACCCTCCTAATGCAGCTGGCTCCCTCCATATTGATTGCTCAATCATCACTTTGAGATTAGGCAAAAAAAAAAGATGCATTGGAAGTGGGGAGTATGGATGGGAATTGTGATAAGAAGTAAGTATATATAAAAAAATACATTTTCAGTGTTGGAAAATGTTAACTTCCGATATGATATATTATCTCCTCTCACATATCAGCTATAATCCCACATAGAAGTGGTGGAGGGGCTGGTGAAAAAGTTGCCCTCTTCTGAAAGCTCCCAAAGAGAATCCATGGAGTGTGATACCCTATACAAAAGAAAACTATAAAGGCATACCCGTGGGACACCACACCCATTTTGCACCAGAGTATAATCTTCACTCATAGTGAACTATAAAGGCATACCCGTGGGACACCACACCCATTTTGCACCAGGGTATAATCTTCACTCATAGTGAAGATATGTGGCTCCAAGTCAGGCAGAAAACAAGCACAGTCCAGAATTGGAGTACGGAATATGAAATTGCCCTATAGTGTAGTGTGGCTAGGGCATGTTAGACAGTACGTGGCGGGTCAACTCCAGTCCAAAACCAGACAGCATCAGGTATTTTTCATATGGTCCATGGTAGGAGGAGTGTCCCAACCACCTTCACCTCAATCCGAAGAATCTAGGAAGTGCCCACGTGTGCTGACCCTGCTCACACCTAACACCAGGCCACCTGGGAACCTAACATCTGGGCAACATTAGGGTGGGGGAAGCATATGTGGCAAGTGAACTCCAGTCCAAAACCAGGCAGCGTCAGGTTATTTTTTTTTTTTTTTGTCTGGTCTGCAGTAGGAGGAGGGTCCTTACCAACCACATGAATGAGAACTTATTTTGACAGGTCCTGTGCCTATCCAACACCAGACTGGCCATGAACCAACATCCAGGCAGCAGTAAGATGGGGAAAAGCTGTATGTGGTATGTTTATCACCAGTCCAAATCCATGCAGCATCAGGAACTTTCCTTCCATTTCATGTGTGGAGAGCAGTCCACACTACCTACACCAAACCAACAGAACACAACCACCCTACCCACTACCGAGTGAAATTGGTCACACTCAGGATGAAGCCTCCATGGTCCACCACCCAAGCAGCTAGGAACTGGTAAGTGGCAAGGACTCAAGAACTCCACTAGAAGAAGGGGGGGAAGTGCATTGGGGAGCCAGGAGGAATGCAACACCTTAAGAGAGTACAATTCAATTAGGATCAGAGGGATGGGCAGCTATCCTGACACTGCTTTAGTCATGATGGTCCATGAGTAGGTACAGTTTGGCAGTTTGGATCAGGCTTTGTTTACTTAACAAAGAATATACCATGAGGGAACCTCTAGTGGTCTTTTGGAATACCCAATCTCATCATTTAGCATTAAAGACCTGAATGGCCACAATGTGTGAATCTAAATGTACGTATACCTTGGCAGGCACTGCACACCACTCAGCAGGATCTTATGAAAATAAGAGAGAAAGAAAAAAAGTTACCCAATCAGAGCCAGTAAGGTGTATGTAAAATGGCAAAAGGTGATATCCCTAAGAAGAAGAGATGGCCAGAAGATGACAATAATGAGTGAAAAAGTATGTGGGGCAGTCTACACGCCAGCCTACACAATCTCCTTCAACAAATGACGGAGTGAGCAGCCAGAGAGAGAGTAAGGTGTCATAGTTGGTTAAAGGAGGACTGAATCTATACGAATCTACATCCAAAGAAACATAGCTAGATGGATGACCTGCCATAGCTAGATGGATGAGCTGCCATAGCCATCCCATGAAGGTAATGGGAGAAGTACCCCAGGGAGATGAGGAATTCAAAAAAAAATAAATAGATGGGAGCAAAAACAGCGAAAAGGAACAGTGTAGGCCAAATAACAATGAACCACATGGATGGGACAGAGAAAATGATCCAGATCAGAATGGGATAAAAAGTGAAAAATGGAAGGAGAGGGGAATAGGAGTGAATGTGCTGTCCCATACATGAACTTTAGATGTTGTAGGGAGAAAAGCACCAGCAGGATAAAGAAGAATATAAGAATGATGAAAAATAATACAAAATGCATCTTGATGACATAAACAACAGATCTCTTACAGCCACAGGCAAAAAGAATTAAGAAATAGGTCTTAAATGAAAGACGGTAGAAGGAATAAGAGAATAAACGCTCAAAGAGTGGAAGGGAAAGGGTGTGGAGAACAACATTCAGGTCCCAATCAGGAAGGACTACCGGACAAGGAGAACAAAAAAACAAAAGAGCATAGAAAGGACAGGAGAGCATAATATATGACAATAATGGGAAGACCCATACGTATTAGGTAGAGCTGCCTTGTAGTCAGCAATGTTAGAAAGCGATAAGCCTTGGCTGAACAGTCACGTAAAAATTTGGAAAGACAGCAAATCTCTCTTCAGACGGAATGGAGAAAAAGCATGATGCAGAAATCAACTACAGAATGTGTGCCATTTCTGTTGACAGTCAAGGAGGGAGAAAGAATGAATGGGACAAGAAAGAAGGAAGACTATATGTGAAGAGTGTGTGGAATGTCTCGCAAGGGACCAGACAAATCCCAAATCTGAAGTCAAACTCTCCCACACTACCAGATGGGAGAGGGAGGAGCAAAATTGAAGGAGTAGGAAGCGTGACAGAGGTAAAGGATGAGAGGACTGGAGAAAGTTCAATAAAGAAAATCACAGTTGAGCTGGGTAGTACAGAGCAATCGGGAGAAAATTCATAGGAGGGTAGTCATGGAGAAAAACGTTGGTCCAGTCATAACTGAACACATCCACAGCTAAAGCTGAGGGATGAGGAAAAGAGGAAGTATGGTGTTGAGATGAGTGGCAAAAGCATCTAAAAGAGGAGTGCCCAGACAAGAGCACAGCTGATGAAATACCAGAGGATAAAGGAACCACTCCATATGTAGTATCTTGTTGGGCCTCAACAAGCGACCCATGAGAAGATTCAGGCCACCTAGAATATAACTAGCTATAAGACATACATTCAAAAATCAGGCCTAGAAAAGGAAGTTGAGAGCATGGAAACAGAGAAAGTAAGACTAAGTGTTCCTTTGGCAATTGATATAGGAGACAACTGCAGAGTTGACTGTATGGATCATCACTAGACATCCACAAACCAACATAAGAAATGATCCAAAGCTCAATGTACTACCAAAAGTTCTAACAGATTGATATGAAGTGACAATTTGCCATTGGCTCACTGACCCAAATTTACCTGAAAGTCGAGACATGCCCCTCCCCATCTTGTCTAGAAGGCATCTGGAAACAGATGGAGACTCGGATGAGAGGAAGGAATTGGAACACCCTTTATGGTATTGGTTGTATCAAGTTACCAGGTGAAGTCTTTGACTAACGAAGGATAGTGGTGGAGGACAAGATCCCAAGAGAGAATCCAGTGATCGTGCAGAGTCCATTATAGACATTATAAACTACCACAAACCAAGGGGATACAGGATTCCGTGGGGAGCCCAAGTCTCCATAAGAGAGAGAGAATCTCCTGCACAGTGAGAGAAGGAGAGGATAGGCCATAGGAAGATAATTGCTCCATGTCTCTCAAAAGAAGTGGAGAAAGCTGGGCTCTGTGGAGATGCAAACTGAAAAACAACCAAATGAAAGAGATACTAAGTGGGTGTGAGATGCGATTTCTTTAGGTTGACCAACCCAGATGCACCACCTCCTGAAGGAGAAAAAGAGGATGGCCATAGGAGGCTTTTTCGGATGGAGCCAAGACCTGAGGTGAAAAAAAGTCCCCATGGTAAATCAAGGGAGGTTGAGAAACCAATTGAGACATGAAATATCTATTACCAAACACCACAGGCCGATGTTGGCAAGAAACAAAATTAGTACCCAATAGTCAGCTGCAAGCAGAGGTCAAAGGACCCTAAGCCAAACTAAAAAGGCCCTACTTACCCTGAGAATAAGATAGTCATTGTCAAGACTGAGAGCACTCAAATCCATGAACAGTGGGAGGACAGAAGGGAACAAACACGAATAGAAAGTGGGGACAGGAAAAAGAAAGGAAGCAGGAGGATGAGAGACAGAAAGAGGCAAAAAAAAAAGAATAAGGAAGAACACTGACATACAGCCCCAACATGTGACTCAACTAAAATCACACTGGCATATGACAGGAGCCAGATGAAGGCATATGATATAAAAGGGATGCAACATCACTTGAGCAATAAGGGCATCATGCCCCAACAAACTCTAGCAACAGATCAACCAAATATGAAATGATAAGGCCAAAGAAAATAAAAATATAGAGAAGTGAACGAGCATCTACTAAAAACCACTCAGGGGAATGGTGGATTACCTCAGAAGGAAGGTGAATGGATAAAATATAACATAAATGGGTACAGTGTAAGATGAAGGTGGGAAAACCTAAGCCATAGAAAGACAAACAAAAGACAAGAGGATCTGACCCCCAAAATGGAAGAAAAGACTGCAGAGGTGAGAAGTCAAAGAAAGGTAATACAGCACAAATGTGATGCCTAATCATATGAGGTAACAATGGAAGGAGTATAAGATATGCATGCAACAAACTTGTGGTAAAAGTAATCAAATATAAAATTGGTTATCTGGAGAGAAAGAAAAAACATAAAAGTAAGAAGCAGGGAATAAAGTACAAAGTGAAGGAAAGAAACATACCTGAGAAACCCAGTCCTGAAATTGCAAAAAAGGCTTAGGTAGATTCAAGACAGCATGGGTATAAGATTAGGCAGAGATAAGTGGTGGGAAAAAATAGCAAAATCCCTTCCACCATGAATAAGAAACATAAGCAGAGGTATGTCAGACACAAAGAAAGTCCAGGCTGCATGAAAGGCCCCACCACACAAAAGACATTTCTTCCTCAACAGTCAAAGACAAACCCAACACCAATTTAGTTGTTAGATTAGTGTGAACAATGTCTGGTTGTCTCACACTAAACAAAAAGGAAGTTACTGAGACTCGTGAAATGATGTGTAAATAAAAACCCACAAAATTTGCATATGCAGAAAATGTTGAAAAATGAAAATCTAACAATAAATACTTCCACAACAGGTTTTTGTAGATACTTCCACTAAAAAAACGCCTATATTCAAAAAGTTCACTAGCAAAAAAGAAAGACATCATTAACACAAGTGCCAAATCGAATATATAGTGAGTCAGCTGCACTAGGAAGCTGTGTTTCACTCATATTGGTAGAAGGTTGTTACATGCTACATTGCAGCAATAGCACTGTAGGAACACAATTTTAAATGGGAGCCTCAAGGATAGTAACAAGCAAAAAAACTGCACATATAGAGGACAGCACAAAATTGGGAAAAATTAATACATGAGAAGTGGTAAAATACCATATCAAAAATAGAAGTTTAGGTAAACATAACATACTTGAACAAATATAGGAATAATCTGATGAGCCGTGATAAGAGCTCTGTTGTGAGGGTCTCGAGCAAGGATGTGTAAAGCTCCTACTGCATTCTCTACTATCTCATCCATCTGAACACCATCAGGATTAACATCACTCTCACTTGCAGGGCTAGATCGTTCCTGTTTAAAGTAGTCATTTATTTATTAGTTTTCATGTAATCATTTTCAGATAAAATAAATCAAGCTTATTACTAGCTTACAGGTAAGAATATTCAGTTAAAAGCTGAACATAAAAAATTTCAATTTCCTCTTGGATTTTTCAAGTTGTAGTTTATAGATTCTTATGCACAATTTTTTTTGAAGTAGACATTTCACAAGTTGCTCCCAAATACATATATTCTGTTAAAAACTTTTCATTTTTAATGTACCTAGAACTGTGGCAAATTTGCACTAAATAGCACATGCTTAAAACTCATATAGTGTACAAATTGTTTTCTCATGCTGTGCCTCAACTAACTCTTACATATCAATACTGAAAAGTAATTAAAGAAGAAATTGTATTTTTGATAACCTTAGCTTGTAAACCTTAAAAAGTTCAAACACATAAACATTTAATAACTGTCACATCTTTAACTTGCATACTTTACCACAATATAAATAAATGACAGGATAATTACCATTTAAATACCTTATAAATTACTTACATAACTTATCTAGTATGCTTTATAATGACTCAATAAATACAAGTTCTTTCCAACAGATGGTAATAACATTCTAAAAACCTTAAAAGGTTTAACTCACTTATTCATACTGAAAGCTTAAATAGTTTAATTACACCACATGCTGATCATATTTTCTCTCAATTTTCACTCTAATGAACTAATCTTATAAATATGCAAATACTTAACTTTATTCAGCAGGTTATATTTTGTTTCCTAACTATAAATAACTCACCTTCTGAGTGACCATGTAAGACTTCACTAACAACTGGATCAAAGTTGGTATTGTCCCATGCTCACGAAGAGGTATCTGATTGGCTGGGCAGACAGCCAAGTTACGTATCAACCCAATAACAGCCTAAAAGACAGAAAATTAGGCCATATCTTATCAATTTTACTTACAACTAAGTAATCCACTGAATTAAGTACAAAATTAAATATATTTATTAATTTTAACTAGTAATAAATAATCCACAGAATTAAGCACACTGTTGTAAAGAATTTAACCATTATGCACTTGGGATTTTTTCCTCATAAATTTTAACTTGAAAAATTAATAATTAAAAGCAACAGAAAGTATTGAAAGAAAAAAAAGCAAAATATTTTGTCTTCAAAATTTCAACATGTACATTAAAATTATTAAATAAATGCAACAGTATGTGTATGTCCAAAACATCAATTGTTCATTATTAATATTTATAAAATGTAATTTCATTTGAAACAGAAATCATAAAGTCCTATAAACAGCTTTATATTTATAAACATGAAGAGAATAAATACTGGCAAGTCTATATTTTTCCTTCAAATGTTCAAGAGGTTTATGAATAAAATGGATTTATCTTGCAATTATAAAAACTCAGTAACAAATCCTTACTTATAAAAATACAAATCTTGAATAAATACTATGGCTTAGTTTAACAGTGAAAAACAAAAAAATTAGTTGCACCTTGACTAATGGCCAACGACTTGGTGGATGAAGCAGTTTTACAATCACTTGAATTCCATTAATCTGTCCTACAGTATTCTGTGCTATCTCTGCTTCTGGATGACGATTTGTTAGGTGTCGAAGAGTGCAAACCTGCAAGTTAGTAGTAAAGTGTAGTAATTATTAGAGTTTTGTGGTAGTAACACCAACCTTTAAGACATTCTGACTCTTAAATACTGCAGGCATCAGAAAAAAAAATGGAACTAATGCATGCTTTTTTCTGTGTAAAAAAAATCAATGATTCTACTTATAATGATTTCAACTGATAAGTCAATAATTATCCATATTATTAGTGATCTGCTCACTATCGGCTTGGTGGATTACACCGACCTTCTGACCCCAAAGTGATCATCAGAGATTCTATGCTATAACTTATTGTTTTGTGCATTTTCACAAAATTTGGCAAGCTTTCAGTAAACATTACAAGTCCTCTGTACACAAAAAATCAGATATGGACTCAGTTGATAAAATAGAGGGTCAGTGGATAAAATAGAGAAGAGGGGATGCCGAGATAAAATGTGTCACTAGGGGAATTCCAGACATTTTTCAATAAAAAAAATTAAGAAGTTAAAACTTATATACTATTAAAATATGGATTATTTGCTAAGATTTTATGCTTTCTAAGTAAGTGATAAAAGCCTTTAAAAATGTAGCTAAGCTTGTTGATGTGAATATCACAAGAGAAATTTTCAAATTGGAGGCAAAATGGACAATACTCTATACAGAAAACAATGTAATGTAGTACATCACTTGATAGATTTAAACTTTGGTTTATACTGGTTACAAGAACTATAGACAATTTGTGAAAGATAGGATGTGACAGGTGAGACAGGCAAGTGGGTTTGCATTTCTAGTTTATGGCTCCTAAAACACATAAAACTGAAGGCTATAAAATTATGCTTTGCATTATTAATATCTGTATTATAATAAGTAATTTACATTAAATTCTATACTTCTCAGAAGGATGGTAAATAAACAAGAAAAGAAAAAAACTTTTCAAAAAAGGAAGTAAATGTAGGGATGGCTAATATCAATCTTTCAAAAACAATGCAAACAAGATAGAATGGATAGCATTTGCATCATCCCTACATAATAGCACAAGCACACAGAGTAGTAGTACATTAACAGACAAAAATAGGATAAATTAAACTCAATTGTGATTGAATAGTTATATATAGTGCTATGTGTTAATTCTTACTTACTTCTTAACCATCTCTATATTTATTTCCTTTCTTGAAAAGATTTTTCTTTACTTGTTTTTTTTTAATTCAGTGTTTCAATAGACATAGGAAGGTTGTATTTAGAGAAAGTTCTAAATACAATGAGGTTTCAACTGTAATATTTTTGTTCATCTATTATTGGCTGGTAATTCCTGTTTCACCTTGTACTTAAGCTTTTTAAAGCAACATCAAATTCATGTGAGAAAGCTGAGATCAAGAGATAATGATAACATTGTTTATACTAGAATTATGATTTTAAATTAATATAAATCTATATAAATATAATAGTGTTGTCTGTTGTATGTTCATGTAACTACTTCACGAAAATCGGTATGGAGGTTCATTGAGTTCATGGGGAGATACATACAAATTTTCAGTTTTGCATTTTTGTGGTTTTTATGGGTGTTTTTTACCACTACTTAGTCCATTGTAAATGGATCTTCACCAAATTCGGCATGGAGGTTCACTGGATCCATGGAGAGATACATACAAGTTTTCAGTTTTGCATTTTGTGTTTTGCAGTTTTTATGGGTGTTTTTGTATTTTTTTACCACTATATTGCTCACTGTAGATGGATCTTCACCAAATCTGGTATGGAGATATATTGGGTCCATAAATTTTCAGTTTTGCATTTTGTGGTTTTATTGGGTTTTTTACCAGTACCTCACCTCCTGTAGATGGATCTTCACCAAATTTGGTATGGAGGTTCATTGGGTCCATGGAGAGTTACATACATATTTTCACTCCAGTTAGTTATTAATAATATTTATAAAAGTGGATACTTCATTTGAAACAGTAACCTCAGTGAAATTGCTTGACACCATTGTTTTGGTTTTTGAGTTATCATGTAATAAAAAAGAAGCAGAAGAAAGAACACAAAATTCAAACCTTTTGCTATGATATTGACAGACATTCCAAGAACTTGTGGCTCAGTCATTACATAGATATTGTTATAAAAGGAAACACTGTATAGTATTGTAAAATTCTGATGATCTATTGAGGAGATATTTAAAATATTATTTCAATGAACAATCCGAGCCATCCCTTCATAGGCAGTGCTACCGCCTGCCTGATTAGAAAAGACTTAGAGAACAAATGTCACAATTCTCATACTAGGGGAGAATGAGGATTTTTTATAACCTTTTTTTATAAAAATTAAGAACTTAAAACTTATATAATATTAACATTTGATTTCTTAAATATGTTTTGATCCTAAGTTTATCCATATACAATGATAATTAAGTAGTTCAATTAATTTTTGAATGTAACAATAAAAAAGTAGTGATGTGTACTTCGAACATATCCATAGTGAGAGGGTTAACAGATTTACCAAAACTGTTAATATATAATAAGTATTCTTATAATAGTTCATAAATTTAAGACCATTTTATCTCTTCTACTCTACTGCTAGTTTTAGGAAATCATTCATAAAAATATTTTACTTAAGTAAGTCAACAGAGATAAATGAGGTAAAAAATCAAATCCATATACACACACATTTATTTGGACAGATACTGAATAGATATAAATTTGGGTCAGTACTTGGTAATACACAATAGTAAATATTTATGCTTTTACACATAAATAACTACCTACACAAATATATTGGTTTATACTGATGTGTAAGCATGTGATAAATTCTGATAATTACTACAAATGTTTCTGCACATTGCGAAAATTAAACTTATTTAAACTAAAGTAAGATGTACTCACAACAGGTTCTGTAATCTCTTCTCTATCTCCAGCATGAAAAATTACACGAACTAAAGCTTCAATACCTCCAATCTGACAAACTACGACTTTATTCCGCTGGTTGTTACAAGTCATGTTGGACAGGATTCCAGCAGCACATGTGACTACATTTACATCATTACTCTCCAACAGTTGCACTAAAGACTGCAGAAGCCTGTCTGCATTTTCCTATAACATTTTAATTAGAAATGAATAATAACAAAAAAACTCAGATACAAATCTGTAGGTTTAAAAAGTTTTTGAACAAAATTTTTATCATGTTCTTCACTGACTTCTATACAGATTCAAAGTACATGAAAATGTTTTACTAACATTAATATTGTGTGACACATTTCTTTGTTGGTTTTTTATGGATTTTAAAAGGAAGTATTAGAAACTCTAAGACACTTAAATGACAATACTCTGTTTATTTGGAATTCTTTCCAAATTATAAGGTATATAATTATTCTTTTTTGTTACAAAATACAGAAACAATAATGAAATAACTTGGACAAAAACTGTTTCATTTAGATTTTACATTAGTCACTTCCATTCTTGACAAAAAAAATCATTTGTGGCTGAACTGAATCATTAAAGTTGGTAAATTGAGAATCTGTTCTACATAACATATATTAAAAAACCTATAGAGACTGAAGATCTGACTAATCAAACCTTTCTGACACTTGTTATTTACATGTAATATATTTATCATTGTGCTTTAAGGAATATTGAAGTTCTCCATAGTTTTAACAGTAATGTATGTTTCTTTATTGACAACTTTTTTACAAGCACACCAGACAAAAATTAAGTTTAAATTTAAAAGGTTAAAATTTTTATTAAAACCAAATGGTTACAAACCTGCCATACATTTCAACACAATTTAGTGTCTTCCTCAGATTAATATTATTCATACAGTTATTGTTCATTAACATACACCATACATTATAAATGCAAATTACATGTTTTTAGTGTAAACTACCAAAATTCAAATTAATAAAATAATAACTATGAAATTAAAAAAAAATAATATAAAAAATTGTAAGGTGTTCATTTTTCTGCTTCATATTAATTTGTTGGCATTGTTGAACTGCTAAACTCTAAGTTGTAGTGAAAGAAAACTAGTGTTTTTAAACTGTATGTACAATTATATACTTTAATACATTAATATTATCCACAAGATAAAACCCAATTTCTCAAACAAACTTCTGTACACAATGGATTTTAATAAACTAATACTATTTTAAAATGAAACAACCCCCAATTTTCCAAACTTTCCAAACACAACATATTATTTTCAGGTTTTGGACCATCTGCATAACACCATGTGCATTTTAATCCTTTGCATTCGTTAAGTATTTATACTGTAGCATTTAATGCAGTATGTGTATCTTCACAAAATATAGTAGACTTTTGGAGAACATTACAAGTCATTTGTACACACAAAATGAGATTTTTTTAATGAAGTATTTTTACTAAAAATTTGTTTTTGAATATATATTGAGTCTGTTTCATAAATAGACCATGTGCAAAGTGATTTTCATGTTATGATTAAAAATACTATTCTTCATCCCAAAAATCTCATATTTCATTTGCGTAATCTCTAAAACCACCTAAATACATTTCAAATGTTTGTTTTCAGTAACAATTTATATTTTATCTGTTATTTTTCTCTACCCTAACTCAATACAAGGTTGGTCAATATGACCAACTTCGTAACCACCATAAAAAAATCGAAATACATTTAAATTTCCCTTTTTACTTTCTAGAATGACTTCAAATTGTAACATGAAACTACATTTAAGTAACTTTAAACTCATAACAGTATACAACTACTTATGCTTAAATTTTATATTTTTTATTGTCATTTGAACTGTGTCTAACTACTATTTGCACCATTATAAGTTGTAAATCACTTGGGGAACATGGGGCTCATGGTACGCTATCAAATTACATTACCCATGAGCTACTCCAAACTGCTTTCATGCATGCTTCATGAAAATATTATTATTTATTTTACCTAATTTAACCTTAACTGACCGAAAAAGATCCCTATTTTTACATTTTACTTACTTTTATAATAATAAATAAAGAATACACATGAAAAACAAATAATAAAGTACTTACCCGAGTCTTCTTTTCTCTTTCTGTTGATTGACACTTAATGGTACTTTTGTATACTAATGGTAGTAATGCACTAAATAATTTTCATTTAATTACATAATGCACCAAAGAACATAAAATAATAACATGCAAAAAGCAGACAATGTCCAATAACTATCACTATTTTTCTGGCTTTCTAACAATGCAACAAGAGCCATTACAAATTCATCCAAGCTGGTCAATATGTTCCCATGGGAAAGATGCTTGTACTTAAAGAGAAACTGATAATTCTTTGTTCAGAAAACAATACAATATAATATGTCTTTTGATAGGTGAAAACCTTGGCTTTCTATTGGTTATAAATAATATAGTGTTAAATGTAAGAGAAAACTATTAACACATCCTGAAAGAGAGGATATGACAGGTAGGTGTGGCAAGATGGGTCTGATTTTCTATTTGATGGCTCTGTAACCAAACAAGATTGAAGACTATAAAAATTATGCTTTGTCTGAGAAATTACAGTTTGATAGTGAGTAATTTATGTTAAATTCCATACTTATTATAAGGGTGGTGAATAAATTACAGAAGAGGAGATGCCTAGAGAAAAAATGTCACATTTCTCACACAAGAGGTAATTCAGGATATTTTTTAATATTGCCTTATAAAACTAAGAACTTAAAACTTTTATTATATTAATATATGGATTATTAGCTATGATTTTATGCTGTATTAATTGGTATAACATAAACAAAAATTAGTTTAACTAAGTTTCAAACTTAAGTCACTAAAAACCTTGAGACATGTGCAGTAAAGGATGCCCATGCAGAGAGGGTTAAAAGGTTGGTTTTAAAAACATCACAGTTGAACTCTTTTCAGAGGGTATGTCAATATAATTATAACCACTTGCAAGAAAAGTACTTTACCATTTGTAAGAATTTTGAAATCATCAATAAAGCACTTCCTTGTCAAAGCATGAGTACAGTACTGGTTTCTGAAGTGTTAAGCTATTTCTTTGAAAGATGAAGCTCATTATTTAACAATGGTATTATGTGAAACATAATGAACTAAGTGCTACTAATGTTATTAACAGTGTGTAAATATGCATATTTCAAATTAGGTTAAACACTTGGTTAGTCTTGTTAGAGATTCACAATTTAAGAAACTATTACTGGTATAGGTCACATAAATAAACTGAATAAAAATATAACTATCATTTATCAAGATCATTATAATATGGACTTTTTGCCTGATATAACTTTAAGTTGGTTTTCATAATATTTACATTTTGTGGCCAGCTTAATTATGAACTTGTTCACATGAATAATGGGTGAAAATGATGCTTATAGGGTTGGAATTTTTTTCCCAGGGTCAGTTTCTGCAAAAATAGTTTTTTCCCCTAGAAGTCATGAAGGCTATATTGTAATCACAGCCTATTTATACATAAAATCCCTAGAGTAAGCAGTTAAAAATTAAGCACATAGTTGATAACCTTAGCAGCTTTGCTTTTAACTCAAAAACAAATATAACACCAATCTAGAAAAAAAATCACCACACCAAAAACTAGGTTTCAATACATGTGGTGGGCAGATCACAGATAGCCATTCAGTAGCTTTGTGTTTAAAGCAAACAAATATTATGGCAATATTTTGATTGCTGGAATAGTTGAAAATAGTACAAATCAGAAACATTAATTTTCAGTAGTTGGTTCTTTTTATGAATTGTGAAATTGATCGATTAAGTTGAGCAAACTTGAATTAATCCAAAATAATAATGACAAATTTTAATGGCAATGTTCTGATTGCTAGAAATTTCTATAATTGAAAACAGTAATAATCAGAAACAGTAGTTGATTATTTTAATAACACTGATTAACTTAATCATAATTTTCATTAACTCGGTGGTTACGAGTAGATCCATTTGGGCATAGCTCATATGGAGAATGATACACAGTTCAACAATTCTTACAATAACTCTGAATTTTCTTAACGTACTTTCATAAAAACTGGTAAGAGTTTGTTAAAGATGAGAAGAATTTTGTACAAAAAGAATGAGTTTGTTTTAATTAAAGATTTGTTATTGTTGTACTGAAGTTATTTGCACTCAGAATTTGAATATTTCATGTATTGTGCAGTGAAATGTTTAAAATTGAAAATAGAAAAAAATTTACATATCTTTTAATTTTTTGTCAAATTATTATGAAAATATTGTTAGTTCATATTCTTAATTGTAAGTTTTTTACTTTTTAACAAAAAGCTTATTTTTGATGTTTTATTTGCCTTTCCTATCCTTTAGTATTATTACTTATTAAGACACATGTCAACATGCATTCTCGGGGTGCCCTCTGCAGTGACACTTTAGCCATTGTCAGAACATTCAGATACAGATTTAGTCTGCTCCACTAAGCCTTATAAACTGGGGCAGTTTGGCTTATATTTTGAAAAGTTACTAAATCTTTCCAATATGCATTTTAAAACATAACTAACATATAATTAACTAAAATGCAAAACTAAAACCTAAATAAAGTTTAATTGTCTAACATATTTATAGGTGAGAAATAATGCTAAAGAGCTAGCAAGGTCATAAGCAGCAACAATGCAAAGAGTGTTTGACAAGTTCTCTATGGAATTCTTGGCACCAATTTTAAAATAATTGTTGGGAAATAGTGTTTCAAAATATGGCTTTCTATTGGTTACAAACATCTAGCTCAACTAAGTACAATTTCAACTGTATATGTAGAGAGTAGGCATGATATCTGTCAAAAGTTCCAAGAAATTTTTTCTATTTTCTCTCTACTTCCCCGAAGGAACTTGAAAGAAGAATGTGTAAACAGAACATTTAACCTAGATTCTTTCTATATATGGAAGGTTTAGTGTATTCAAGTCCTTCTTAACTTACAAGGTCCAAACATTAAACATTTTGAAGTAACTAACTGAAGTTGTGCATCAAACTAAAGTTTAAGAATTTTTCTCTAAGGTTTCTTTTGAAATAAAGGAATTAAAACTTAGATAATATAAAACTTTGAACTATAATGTAAATTTTAATGATAATTTCATTAGTATACATTGATAGTAATATTACTTAATTAAATTTTGAATGTAACAAAGCAAAATCTTGTGACATGCTCAGTACAGGGATGCCTGTAATTATGGGGTTAATCAATTACTTTACGTGATATTAATCAATGTAATTGATGCACTCATAGGTAATAATTTTTTATCAATTAACTGAGTTAATCACCCAGCTCTAAACATAAGTACTTAGTACACAATGTTTTGATTATTCTTAAATACCTGTTTTGTTCCAGCATCAGACAAGTTCCGGAGAGTCCACAAACAATTCAAAACCAAACGCTGGCTTTGATGTCCAAGATGTATGGCTAAAGCATGCAAACCACCTACAACAACACACGATCAAATAACCATTTTATTTTCTTTAAATATATTTAAAAATTTAAATATAGAACCATCAGATAAATACATTGGAACCCAATAAAGTACATATTACACTGAAATTAACTTGAGTTTTATTATTAAAGCTGTTGTATAACTATTTCTTGGCACCTTTTTCTTAAAACATTTGCCTGTTTCTATCAATGGTGGACTTATTATATATATATATGTTTTCTTAAGACACTCACCTGCCTCCACTAGTGCTGGTTTGGTGCTGGAACACACGGAGAGAACTTTTAATATCCGAGAAGTTGTCCACAGAAGTTTCTCATATGTATAGGACCTCATAATACGCAGGAGTTCTGCTGGTCCACCACTAGCTAGAATAATTAACTATAGAAGAGTACATGAATTAAAAATTTAAATAATAAAAGAACCAGCCTAAACAAAGTTTTTACAGAATAACTACTTCGTAATTATGCATATTCTGAATCCAGCATGATAAATCATTATAGATTACAATTACTTTAATAAATAATGATATTTTACTTTATATCCATTGTAATAGTTCAATATTTAGTTTTGTTGAAAATACATTTATATAAATCACATTTTCTATGTAAAATACATATGGAATCTAGCAGTAATTAGTGGGATTACTAACAATACCGATGGTATTTTTGTTTAAATTCATTTTTGTGACTCATATGCTATTAAGTACCCTGTAACCAACAAAATCATAAAACCAATTTGGTACATGAATAATTTAGAAAACTGCATTTTAAAAATCTATGGGGTCAAAAAGACCCTCAAGAATAGATCTAGGGTTATGAACTGGATGTGCTCAATTTATAGATGCATGTTCACCACTGAGTGCTGTCTTTAAATGAGGGTAGAAATATGACCCATAAGTCCACCCTTTATTTGAATTTGTAGTACTACCAACTATGCTATTTGTTCACCATAGAAGTATATGTCCTCATAGGAAATTAGGCTTAGATCTAGTGAGCATGGTAAAGTGAACCATCACTTATCTTTTAGTAATGCTGGAAATTTTTTATAGTTTCTGTTGTTGTTCTTTTCTTTCCTAATAATATTTTTCTGTTAAAATATATTTGAAAGTTACAGGAATACCCCTCTGTGTTAAGAGATCCTGTACATTTAGTTAAGCTTCATGAATAAAGTAACTTATAGCAAACTATTCAAATAATACAAAACCTTTTGTGTTGAATGTTATTGTTAACTTTACCACATTTCAACAATACATATAAATAAAAGAACATTAACATTTTCCTTATCTGAAAATGTATTTTCGATAGATACTCACCTCTTAACACATAAAACTATCTTCTTGTGTTTAGATATTTGAATGCCACTAGCCTTTAGGCATCTCTCATCTAAACTCACAATAAATGACGTTATTATGCAGCAAAATTCCTCCACCAACAGGAGAGCGACACAACCTCCCTGCACACTAGCTCCATCTATGCTTTTGCACTCATGATCTTCATTTTATGATGAGGCAAGGAATACTAAGTTGCACCAGAAGTGAGGAGGAAGGGTGGGAAGTGTGTGAAGAGGTATATATCGGAAATACATTTTCAGGCAAGGAAAATGTTAACTTCTGATATGATACACACCTCTTCACAAAGAAAGCTGGAATCCCTACATTGATATGGTGGAGGGACTGATGCAAAAGTTATCTAGATCAGCTCCCTGAAGAAAACCCGTAGAGTGTAACACCTGATGGCAGGGGCTCCATTGCGACACACTTGTGGGAGCCCACATCTCATCTCTTCCACAGTACACTTTTTCCTCTGATTAGAAGGGATGAAGAAGCAAACAAGCCCCATGTGTTGTGGGTATGGGCATAATAAGAACCTGGCCATATGAGTACTTACACACAAGTGGTTGGAGAGCCAATATGTGTAGCTCGCATCAACTCAACTGAAAAGAAGATGATTGTAGGTATTTGGTGGGTCAACTCCAGTCCAAAAACAGGCAACATTGGGTATGTGTCTTCCAGTTCACAGTAGGAGGAGGGTCCCAACCATTTTCACCTCATAACCAGGAAGCAGAGGGGAAAAGCAACTTCTGTTCCGACAACCCAGTCAGGGCATATGTGCAGACCCAGTACACAACCAACACCAGACCAACCGAGAACCAAAAATCCAAGTAATAGTAGGAAGAGGGAATTCAAGCATGGTGGGTCAACTCTGGTCCAAAACCAGGCAGGGTTCGAAATTTTTTGTCCAGTGCATAGTAAGAGGAGAATCCCCAGCAACCACATGTGTGAGGATATTTGATGGCTGGTCCTACACTGATCCAAGACCAGACCATTCAGGAACCAACATCCAGGTGGGAATAGAATGGGAGACTCTGGCATACTAGGAGCATAATTATGACAGGGGTGACTGCACTACACTGACAGTATCACCACCACCCCACTTCCTACTAAATTGGCACCATTTGTTCAGCCCCCAGCTACTAAGTCCCAATCAGTGAGGGTTCTCCATGTTCCACCACTACAGTGGCTAAGATCTGGTAAATGGTAAAGGGTTTCCCTTGTTCCACTCGAAGAAAAAGGGAGAGGAATTTGTTGTGGGGAGACCCGGAGAAAATGCCCAGATCCTCATTGAACACCTGCTGGAAAGGTCTTTAATAAAGACAGTGCAATGAGTAACTGCGTAAACCTCTTTTGAAAGGCCAGCTAATGTGAGCCAGGGAAGCAGGCAGAGCACCCCTTGGTGCTGAATTTTTCCATGATAGTCCATGGAATAGGCACAGTCTGGATCAGAGACTATACAGATATCAGAATACACCCAGAGAACATCTCAAGTGGTCTTGTAGAACACCCCATCTCAACAGTAAGTATATATATGGAGTGAGGGCAGATGGTATGAGTGCTTTCCATTAACCTGACTCGATGCAAAATTTTGGGAAATAGGCAGGATCCTGGAAGCAAATGCTATAAACCAAAAGGGAATGTACTCACCAGTTTAAAAAAGTAGGTATATTGTAGGACAGTGAATGGAGGCAGGCAGTGACCCCCTGGAGACAAGACCCACAGATTGCGAAGGCAATGGGCAAGAAGTTATGCAAGGTAGCTTATATGCCAGCATGAATGATCTTGTCCAGCAGTGGTAGTAAACCAGCTACAAAAGAATGAGAGAGATGACAAATCTGATTTGACAAAATGCAGACCCTCTGCAAACAACAAACTCTAAAGTGGAGGACACCAAACAAAGAATGTGGTGGACTGTACTAATAAAGGCAGAAGGAGATTTGTCCCTAGAGGAAGAGGAATCCCATCGAATGAAGAGCGGTAGACAGAAACCACAAAAGTGAGAGGTACAAGCTAAAGAGCATCGAACAATGAAAACAAGGCAGAAAAGTCTCTCCTGGCCTTAACGAGCATAGAATAGTGAAATGGAAGGGATAGAGGAGAAGGGTAGAGGTCTCCTCCCCAAGCAGTTGAAGACCAAGGGAGGAAAGACAGGAGAGGAGAAAGAAAAACATATAGATGATGGAAAGGGTAAAAGGGTATGCATAAGAGTATGCAGAATGACAATGAAGTCCCAGTTAGGCACGGGAACAGGCCAAGTGTGTATATGGATAAGGAAGGATCTGAAAAAGGTGGAAAGAACAAGGAGGAAACACCTTGCAGTAACAAGCATGGAAAATGGTGAAGACAAAAAGGATCAACTGAGGAAGTGCATATACATGTGACCCATAGGGATAAGCAGTCTCTATTAAGCCATGGTTACCAAATATGAAACTTCACAAGCAGAATGAGTAGGACAGGCATGAATCCCAATGACAGCAAGGTCCAATGTACACAACCAGATAAGAGAAGGCTGATCCCAGCTGAAAATGAGTTGTAAAAACTCCCTCGAGGAATAAGATGTTGATTGGGAGTAAGGAAGTTGTGGCAAACACAGCCTCAAAGATACTTTAGACATAGATGGGAGTGGATGAAAAAAAGGAAATAGAGAGCTGAAAGGAGGAGGGTAATGGAAGTGGAGAGAAAGTGTGTGGGTAAAACGTATAAAACCCCTGAATGAATGGAAAAGTGTGACCACAGGAGTTCAAACCCTGACAGTGGGTATCCACAGGACCCGACATAACAGAAACGTCACCAACAAGCTCAGTGGGACTAATACTAGGTAGAAGATGGAGTTGGGAATAAAAAAAGACAGGGAACTAAGGATGAAAAAGAGGTACAATAGTGAAGGATAGGGTCAGGAACAATGTGGAAACAACTTATGAAAGCAAGGATTGACGATGGGCATCTCAGCTCATGATTCAGGGCAAAGAAAAGGGCTAGGCTCGAAGAATGGAAGAAAAAAGTTGAACTTGGGATAGGAAAGTACCTATAACCCTAATTCTACACAACATTCTCCAGTAACGAGCAGGAAAGGCAGAAGGGGACCAGCCACAGTGAAGAAGTGATGGGAATGATAAGCACACACAAAATGCTCCGAGGCATGGTGGAGTGCCTCAGATGCAAAGTGTAGAGAAAAGAGGTAAAGAAGTGTGGTAAAAAGAATCAGGGAAAGTAGAGAGTAATAGGTACTAGAGGGCAAAACCAATGTCAGAAGTCCATCCCACCTCCAAAAGGCAAGGGCAATCACAAATGGGAGAATCTTAAGAGGGGATGCAAAAATGATGAATATTAAGGAAATAAGAATCAGATAGATGGGAAGGGAGAGGCTTAATGTTACAGAAACAAAAGTGTTCCAAGATTAAGAAATAGGGAATAAGCAGAAGGATATAACACAGGGAAAAGAAAAACAATGGTGCATACCTGATAAATCATGGCTGTAGTTTAAGGTTCTCTTCAACAGAGAGAGAAGTTTCCAAAGCCTAAACAGGTGAAGGAACAATCAAATTCATCCTCCTCATTTACCTCACAAATGAGGGGAAGAAATGCCTGACAAAGGGACTGAAGCTGAAGTACCTGGCAGCATAGGGAACCCATTATCCTATCCAAAATGGCTGCCATGCCATCCCCAGGGAACGTGCCCCTTAAGCCATCATTATTTCAAAACCTGTGTGAGGAAATTAGTCACTCACACAAGTAGTAGAAGATAGTACATGAACTCTCGTTCATAGTTTGAAGAAAAAAGAAGGAAATTAAGTTCCCTCAATGTCACAAATCTTGTTAAATTGATAAAGAAAAAACACATCTGAAGTGTTCAGTGCCGAGGAATAGAATCAAGGTTACGAGTACAAAAGCACAGAGATAACTAGTATGCATGGAGTTTGTGTAACCCTCCTATTGGTGGAGAGCTTCTACTGCATAATAACATCATTATGAAGTAGTGCAACTCACAAGAAATCTTGTGAGTTTAGGTGAGAGTTGCCTAAGAGCTAGCAGCATGCAAATCTCTAAAACAGATGCACTGGAAAGACAGCTTTATGTGTGAAGAGATTTGTATCACCTCAGAAGTAGTATTTTTTGAAAAAAAACTATACTTATTAGATATGAATTTACTGTGACTAAGAATATTGTTGGCAAAAATCATGATACAATGCCTGACAAAGATAACAATGATTCCATGCTGGAAAATAAGTTCCTAGATCACTGATAAATCTTTGTCAATTTTGTCCATGTTTTGCAAAATTTATGGCCAGAAGTGGTGACTACTTCAGCTGGCAAAATAAAATATCAAAAGAAATACATAATTGAATATCAAATGTGTTGAAACTGTGAGAATACATAAAATGGTACTTCCTGATCAATAATGAACAAAGCATTTATATTGTCTGTTTTTCAGCAAATTTTTCACAATATGATTTTGGAAATCTCATAACCTAAACAAATTATAGAAATACTAAATCAAGTTACACAATTTTTTCAAGCACAAACTACACTATTTAGAAAATTTTTCAAAGTTTCATGTAATATAGTTACGTAGTTCACTGTTAGAACGAAAAAACCAGGAGATATCTATGACACCCTCTAGTCAAGAAAGGGTTAAAAATTCATTCTAGAAAGAAAAGGAGAGTAATTTAGATTTATTTTGACTTTTTTGGGAGGGTTACAAGGTCAGTCAAATTGACCAACCTTGATAGAGTTAGGGTGGAGAAAATAACAGATAAAATATAAAGTTTTACTGAAAACAAAAATTTGAAAAATATTTAGGAAGTTTTAGAGATACACAAATGAAATTTTGGGTTTTCGGGAAGAACAACAGTATTTTTAATCTTAACAAGAAAATCAACTTGCACACGGATTATTCAAAACAAATACTCAATATATTTGTGAACAAATCATTTTTCAGACTAATAAAAATATTTCACTAAAAAACATGATTTTTTGTATGTGAAAAACTTATAACGTTTACTAAAAGACTGCCAAATTTCATCAAGATATACACACTATATCAAAAGTTAGTAGTATTAAATTTATAAAGACTTTATAGAACTACAAAAAGATCACATGGTCAGTCAAATTTACTGTGCCCGTGTGGAGAGAGTTAATCTGAAAATGTGAAAACTGATACTGGGTGGAAATGGAACCCATGACTTTGCATATAAGGTTAATATTTCAACCAAATTAAAATTAATTTCCATCATCACTGAATAGCGAAATACTTAATTTGGAGCTTCTTACCAAAATGGCAATAACAAAAACATGACATTTAGCATCCATAACATGGTAACTCAGATAGTTTAAGAATCTGCCAGACAAGAAGTGTCACAGTTTCAAATCCTGTCTGATCACAATTTTGAGTCCAGATTAAGTTTTAGATATATTTAACCAATTAATTAACAACTATCCTTGCTTTATATACATTATCATTTTTCAATAGTAATAAATAAAGCATTTCTCTTGGCTACTTTGAAAATATTATTTCACAACAATAAACTTAATGGTGCTTGAAACAAAAAAAATTTGAAACATCTAAATACTTTTTACCTTGCTTTCTTGATTTCCATATGCAAGTATCTGAAGACAGTCAGTGACTAATGCAAGAAGTTTGACATTGTTACGTTGGAGCAGCATTACAAACTTTTGGAGGCCTCCAGCTAAACGAACTGCCATTTTGGATCCTTCTTGATGAAGAAGTAAATTGTGTAGAGTTGTAACAGCATAAAATAGGACAGCCTCCACTGGTGAACTAAAAAACATACAAAAAATAGTATAATGGAAATACATAAAATGTTTTCAGTTGTTTTTATAATAGAAAAATGTTAGCACTACACAAGCAAGACTCCATAAAAGTTATCAGTTATATAAAAATATTTGAAAACAATAAACTAAAAGTCCATAATTTTAATAGCTTTTTAAGTCATTAACTGATGATCCAGAAGACAAAAATTGTTGTTCTACAGTATTATATGAACTTTATTTTCAGTCTTTCTAAACTCTTTGCTAAACCTTACAAAACAATGTCTAGTTTTGTTTAAAAAAATTCATGAATTTTGATTTAAAATTTTTATCATTTTTTAGGTTGTGAAATTTCTAAAATTTTATGAAAAACATTCCTTTTACTTTATGTTTTCTATATTTTTTTTCATTGTTTATCATAAAGTTCAATTTTATATAACCACTGAATTTAAATTTGTTTGATAGTCATCAGTACACTTCTTTTGATACTTCATTTTGCTGAATGAACAATATACTCCCCACTGTAAATCATAAAACATGATATGACTGACAAAGAATAGCAGCATTTATGGCTGAAATCAGTTTATATCTAATAATTATAGTGTTAATTGACTCATTTTTTGGAAAACATAACTCAATGATAAAGCACAACACGAATGTGATAATAGGAAGCATTTTTTAAACATTTTGGAATCACCAAACTTTCGTCATCACTAATCGTGTTATAATTTGTATATTCAAACTGTTTTATTCTTATGAATATCATATTTCTGCTGTAATTACAAATATTATTTATACCTCGAGATTACTGATGATTGAAGTTTGATGATTCCACAATGTTTAATAAATGTTTCCTATTATCAGGTTCATGTTGTGCTCTATCATTAATTATAGTGTGTTTTCAACAAATAACAAGTTACTATTTGTGTGTTATTTGAATACTATAAACACCAATTTAAAAAAAATTGTGCCATCCTAATAACTTGCCATCACAGGCCTGAGCACACCATACCTGCTAAAACCTTAATATCCTCACCTATATCTGTCATAGAATAAATTCCCACAGCTTTCAAACATCATAAGTTATAAGATAATCCCAGGCCTCTAATGAATTAATAAGTATTTGAAAACTTTATTTAGAGGTTGCTTAATTACTTGCAACTATACTCAACCTCAACATTTTCAAAAGTACAACTAACTTGCACATGGCATTATTTTTCTCTTGTTTATAAAGCATTAAAACTTAGAACTCCCCTACTTCAAAGCTATTAGCTTTAGTTTGTATCCTTTTTCAAAGCTGAGAACTATAGAAAGTTCTAAAGACCTATAAAGGTTAGTTTAACCAAAAAATTTGCAGTTGAACAAACTGAATTCATAGAAACATAAAAAAAGAAATATCTGACTGAGAATGTTGAAATATGCTTTAGAGAATTAAACTTAGGAGCCAGCAAAAAAAAAACAAACTGGAAGTGGAATGTTAATAATTCAGACATCTAGGTATTCAATCCAAATGAAGTTTGATGTTTTTTGAATTTTTATTGATAAATTAAGTTAGCATTATATATAATACTAAAGTTATAATTTTCCTACACTGAAAATGTATTTCTGACAGGTGCTTACTTCCACTCATGTACATAGCTATTCTCATTCAGTGCTGTCCTCTATTTGCACAAATTTTTTTTGCATGCCACAAGCCTTTCACTCCCATTCATCCCATGATTCACATGGTTTAACAGATTCTTGCATGCAAATTATCATGCAACAAACCTCCACCAATAGTAGTGCCACATACCTGTGTGACTCCCTATATGCTATTCTACCCAATTATCACTTCGAGTTTATGCAGTTAACAGTGACTCTTCTTGTCTGGCAAATTCTTAAACTAGCTGAGTTACCATGTTATGGATGCTGACAGTTGACATCCATGCAGTGGTAAAATCCCCCAAAATGCAGAAGTCAGGTAAAACACAGACCATCTGACAAAAAAAAAATATATGGAACCAAAAGAAGTCCATAGGTTAAGGCATAATACTGGTACCAAATCTCATGGTGAAAAAACCTAAGATAGTGTCCCAAGAAATTAAAGATACTAAAGTGTACCAAGGGCATTCTCAGTCCTGCAGAAATTGCCCATCCAATTGTGAACAAAGACTACATATTAAAACAGGGAAGAACTGAGAAGTAAAAGAGGCAGGACCAATCAATCCAGAACTCCAATCAGAATTGAGCATACACAACGAATGGAAAAACCCATAGGTAGGACAGGTAAAGGATGGGAAGGTGCTGGACATGGAACATGAATAAAGATAGCAATGACTCAGAATGCAATAAAAGAGCAACCAAAAACAATAGAATATAGCATCACAGGTAACCCCACATGATGCTAAATGCACAAGAGTAGCCCCAGAAAACAGATCGGTGGAGAAAAAGAGCTGACTGTAAGTCTCTATCAGAAGTGGATGGTAAACAAATGGTACAAGACATAGTCCCACCCCAGAAGATTCCAAAAGCAAAGAAGCTACGTGTGGAGGGAAAGAACTGACAATGGCATACACCCCAACATGGAGGAAAGGAGGAAGAAGTATCCCACAAAAATCCCCTCAATATAGGTGGAACGCCTAAGAAAGGAGGTGTGAAGTAGACAATTCCTATAGGAGAGTCGATAGGGTAAGACAAAGATGGAAAACTAAATGGGGGATAAATAGATAAGATTAACAGAGACTATGGAATCTGCTAGACATACCTCAGTCTTTCTTGTAGACATGTTTCACAGTATAATTTCCCTCTCCTACTCTAGACATTTTGTTTCATGATGAGCAGGAGAGGGTACTTTCATCTTGCCCACCACAGGCTTTGGTTCAATTTACCTTAGCTTACCATCAGGCAGATTTTCTTCTTGATTCTATGTACTTAGAATTTCTGTCATCTGTATGGGGGGGGGGGCAGTAGAGACCTGGGAAGGCAAGCCATAAACAAAAACTGGCAAAATCTAGATTGTCCTAAGCAGGTTTGACAGTTGTAGGAGGAAGACAAGCAATATGGAGAGAAGGTAGGGTGGACCTCGGCACCCAGGGGTCCTCACAAACTAAATTAAGTGTAAGAAGTATAAATTATAAAGAATTTTGCAAATGAAATAGTCAATATAATGTAAATTTAAGTAAGTGTGTAGTGAAATAAACATATGTACAAAATGTTATGTGTTGAAGAAAACAAGATATTTAACCTAATTATCGATTTACTAATAAGATGAACTACAGCTAAACCGAAAGTAACAAACACTTGTTAAGCCTAATCGAACTGTGCAGAACAAAGTATGTCAGTAAGCTCTAACTTAAAACCCAAACCTAACAATAATACATACAAAATTGGGAGAAGACGTATGTGTGGACCCTGGCTCCAAGTGTCCAAACAAACAAAGTTAATATGAAAAAGTATAAAAGATAAATAATAAAAAAATTAAATAGACATTATATTATAAAATTAAGTAAGTGTGTAATGACAATAACATATGCATGAGATGTGATGTTTTGAAGAATAAACAATATAGTTAACCTAATTTACAATATACCAGTAAGATAAATTACAGGTAATCCTAAAATAACAAAGACCCACATTAAGCTTAATCTAACATTATAGGACAAAGGATACAACTAAGCTCTAATTTCAAACCTGAACTTGACTATGAGTATTGACCAATCTAACTAAACTTATGTTATTGAACCCAAATAACTACAGATACTAATATTAACAGTAAAAATATTCAAAAACCATAACAGTATAACACCTTATCTTTCCAAAAAAACACTTTAAAAATGAACAAATTAAACATCAGAACAAGAGTACTGCCAAACTCAAAGTGGTTCGTTTGTTTTGAATTTCGCGCAAAGCTACACGAGGGCTATCTGCGCTAGCCGTCCCTAATTTAGCAGTGTAAGATAGAGGGAAGGCAGCTAGTCATTACCACCCACTGCCAACTCTTGGGCTACTCTTTTACCAACGAATAGTGGGATTGACCATCACATTATAATGCTCCCATGGCTGAAAGGGCGAGCATGTTTGGTGGGACGGAGATTCGAACCCGCAGATTGCAAGTCGAGCTCCCTAACCACCTGGCCATAGTTAGGTAGAATAGCATAGAGGGAGTCACATGGGTATGTGGTACTCCTATTGGTGAAGGTTTGTCGCATGGTAATTTGCATGCAAGAATCAATTAAGCCATGTGAATCAAGGGATGCGTGGGAGTGAAAGGCTTGTTGCATGCACTGAACAAGAATAGCTGTGTATGTGAGAGGAAGTAAGGTACCTTGGGAGAAGTACCAGTCCTACAATATTTTTGAACATAACGTTTTTAAAAACAGATTTAGAATTATATTTTAAAGGTCAATTAACATATAATTGTTAGTGTACATACACTTAATTGACCTGAACACTCTTTGGTTTTTAAGACTTTTAAATGATGTTTCCAATTTTCAAAGTGCCTCAGAAAATTGACAGTATACCAAATTCTATTTCCTAGATCAACAATTCTTGTCTCTCTAAATTAACAAGCCTTAAGAAATTTTTCTATTTCATTAATAAAAAGTATAAGTATATTTATTGCATATTTAATGTTAATTGATGCATAAGGGGGGGGTATAAAATCTGTGTCAAAGGTTATGAACAGAAGCCCATTAGGGAATTTAATGTCATTTATTTTGCAGCATTTGCACAAAAAATGTAAATGGATAAAAGATTATCTGAATTCAAATCATTTATATTTTTTTTTTTTTTACAAATAGTGAAGATTACAAAAATGCAGAAAAGAAATTAACCTCAACAGTTTCACTAGAGTTGGAATACCACCAGATTTGAAAATTGCCAAAAGACCCTGACGATGGTTTGAGATGTTATGAAGGGCTGCTGCTGCTGACCGTGTGGTTTCAACATCACTAGAAGATGACATAGCTCTGACTAATGCAGCCACAATCTGTGGAGAATTCATGATAGCATGTCGAGAAGCTTCTTTCTTGGATAACTGATGAACCATCACTGCAGCCTGACTAACAACTACCTGATCCTCATCATTCAATAACTTAATCAGCTCAGGCACTGCTCTGGTGGCAAGATCAGCATCATCCTGAAAGACAGTAACACTATTCATGCAAGGACCTTCAACTATTGTAAATAATATAGTTTTCAAAACTTTTCTAGATCGAATAAACAGTATTATGACAACAAAGAATTACCTGAAATTAATTAAAACTATAAGTAGTGTTAAAATACTATGGAAGAAAAATTTTGATTTTTGATATTAATATATACACATGAAAATAAAAATGTTTATAACTTACTGAAAGATAGGGCAACTGCTAGAACCATTAAAAGTATTTATGCAGATAAGTAAATTTACACATAATACAATATTTTCATTAAGCAATTGAAAAATAAAGAAATTACTTGTTTTCTATTCTAATTGTTGAAAATACAACTTGAAGGTCACTAAAAGCACATTTCCCTTTAATTATTTACAAAATTTCTGGTAAGAATGTCAGAAGTATGTGGTCAGCAGGAAATTCTATATACAAAATAATACCCTTCATAATACTAAGCCACAAATTATAATTATCTTAAGCTGTTACTGATATATGTTGCACTATTCATTATCCTACGATTTCTGTATATTCATCAAGTTATGATTTTTCTAACTCATTTTTCTCATTTATTATTAATTGTTGTTCAAAAAATAATTCCATATATCTTTACATGACAAGAAATTTTATTTATAAAAAAAAACATGAATTGTATAATAGTTAATCAATCACACATATATAGAGAGAGAAGAAAAGAACAGAGTAACATTGAACAGTAATTTCTTACAAAGTTCAACAAAAGTTAAAACTAAATGTAGTTGATAATCAAAATAATGATTTTCAAATACACATGTATACAATTCATTACAAGTAGTGCATTTCAGTACATCAAAACTACCTGATAGTTTATTAGGTTTACAATGGCATGTTTCAACATTTGAGAAGGCTCAGCTAATCTCTGAACAGCAGTTGGTGCCTCTGGATCAAATTGTGTGGATGGAATTTCAATGCCTTCTTCCAATGTCTCTGGAAACATAGAGGCTCGGACACGCTGTGAACGAGTCTGTATCAACTGCTGTGTGATTTCTTCAAAAAAAAAATGAAGTGTACTATGTAATAGTCCAATATCAAAGTTTTGAAACATATTCAAGTAACTACAATTATCCAAAAGTTGCATAAAAGGTTCTGTATTAATATTATCTACTACCATACACTAGCAATGGTCCTCTTCTATAAATACATAAGCACTTGAGCACATGAGAGGAATCAAGTTCATGACTGCAGATAATGGGCGATCTGACAAAAGATAGATAAACATCTCAAGCATACAAAAGACAAAATGGAAATAAATCTATCTTAATGTGGCAAGTTACAAAAACTGAGTAAATATTTTTAAATAGGCACAAGAAAACAATGAAATACTGAACTCTTAACAGATTAAAAAAAACAATAAAATATCAGTATCCAACAGAATACAAAAGGACTGTAAAAACCATTAAGTCTTGCAGAAGAGAAAAGGAAAGTGAAACATTTAAATCAGGTAGAAGACAAAGGACAGTGAAATATCTGAAATCAGCAAAAGACAACTGACATAAAAAAAGAAAATTGTCTGAATATTGAAAAAAAAACCAAAATGAAAAGTATAATATAAGAAATGTTGTCCAAAACAAAGAATAGTAAAACTTCTGAATCTGGAAAAACATAAAGAGCAGTAAAATATCTGAGTATGGCAGAAAATAAATGTCATTAAAGCTTCTGAAACTGATAGAAGATAATATACAATATCATAGAGTCAGTAGACTATATCTGAGGATGGTCAAGGTACTCAATAGGCATAATACAAAAATGCACGTTAAAAAATCAACAATGACAGAGTTTTACTTTAAAAGGCAATTGCCACTCACTTTCATTTGTTTCTCTACCTAACATGTCCAAAAACAAGGCAAAAAAACCATCGCTGAGATACCAAACCACAAAGTGAGTAACCCACCACCAAATTGTTCATCTTTCTTCTTCTTGTTTCAGTCGACATAATTCTACAATTACTTTATCACAAACGTCAGTTTAAACCTAAGTCCACTCTATGTATTTCTGGGTAGTGCACAATGTCATTGCTTAGTCATAATAACTTGTAGCAATTAAAAAAAATCATAATTCTAATGTAAACAATATCATCATTATCACTTGAAGTTAGCTTTCTTACTGAAATATGGTGTTCCTTTAAAAAGCTTAAGTACAGGGTGAAACATGAATTACCAGCCAATAATAGATGAACATTAAATGACTGTAATATGTTGAATACTTAATGCTTTGTACACTGTACAATCTGTATCTTTAGAGAGCCAACCCCTATATTATGTATGAAGTGAAGGAGTAAAAAACACAAATCAATACACATAATATTAAATTTTATTACACACATTCATAGAATACACTACTTTCAGTCTGGGGAAAAAACATCACAAAACAGGAAATAAAAAATATTTTGTAAATGTAAAATGATGTGGGAATGGCAGTGCCAAAAATAATGCAAACAAAAATATAGGGATGATACAGCTATACACAAATCATCTCTACGTGACTTTCAATATTAAAATTTAATGCTACACTGTAAAATGCACACTTGACTTTAATATTACTACAGTTGGAAGTTATATATTCCTGACTGTTGGTATGAAGTTTGTTTTTCATTATATCATGATCATGTCAGGGTAGGCATCAATGTAGTGTAACTAAGAGCCTTGGACTTACATACAACTAAACCAAGTTGAGGCAAAACATGTCTTAATTATTACAGATTCTTGCTGTGAGATCAGTTGAATTGAATAACCTCGTAACCATTTTGTACTCATGCATTTTACAGTGTAACGTTAAATTTTGATATGGAAAGTCATGTAGGGATCATCTATATTCTTGTTTGCATTCTTTTTGGCACTGCCATCCCTACATAATTTTACATTAACAAAATTACTTGTAACATTTGAACCAAGCAGGAGATAGAGGGCAAAAAAACACCTGATTCTGACAGAAAATCTAGGACAGTAAAATAACTGAATCACAAAAAAGAGAAAAGGATAATAAGATATCTAAAACAGACAAACGACTGCAAGATGGAAATGTTTAAAGTTAATAGAAGAAAAAAGGGAATAAATCATTTAAATATGAGAGAAGACAAACAGAAAATAAAATATCTGAAGAAGACAAAAATATATAATCTTCAACTCAACGATGATATATAAACAGTGTGTGTGTGTAGAAGGTGCCACAAATTCCCCAAGGAAAATTTCTGTACAATATATTTACTGGAAAATAGTGGAACTATGTAGAGGTTTTAAATTTCATGTATTAAGTATCCATCAAACTACAACACCCCACAGCTGTCTCATACAGATGAAAGTTACTAAATGTCCTAATCAATTTACCACTCAACTTTATCAATTTATGGTGGTGATAATTTAGATATGTAAATACAAATTACTACTGTTACCTATACACCTAAAAACTAAGAAAAATATATAATAGTAGTAATTGAAATTTAAGATATGGATTAATTTTTTTCACACTGATACCATATCTCAACAATTACACATTCCAACTTCATCTAGAAGTCAGTGAGCTAATGGGTTAAAACTAGCAACTGATAGTAAGGCATTTTTTACTTACATAAGGTACAGGCTACAAAACTCTTATCCTCTCATAAAAAAATATGTAAGAATCTAATAGTTAAAATTGTAGATTTTTAGTGAGTCTCAATTTTTAGGTGGTATTCAAAATCTCACACTTTGATTCCAAATACAGTGAGATTATATGAAAGAAATTATTTCAACAGCTAAATCAAACTATAGTTAGTAGTCACTTATAAGTCAAAATACAGGAGTTTCAGTATGACATAAACATAAATTTCTTCCCAAAGGTGTCAAATTGAGACCTACATTTAAAGAATATGAATAAAGCTTTAGTCCACCTCATATTCAACAATGTACTGTTCTTTCTTTACATTTTCACAACTGAAGATGTAGTGCCAGTTTGTTCATCTTCTGGTTAGATCTGGTTTTCTTAGCATAATAGCAGGAGATGCTAACATTCTAACTTGAAATTCTTTCCAGGACTGGATGATGATGTAGAAGAAACTGAAGGTAGATACATTACCACATTTGTTTAGACAGTGGTTGATAATACTACTTGTGTTGTAGGATTTTGTGTTACAGGGTTCTTTTATTCAACTAGTTCTAGTGGTTGATAAAATATATCCATGGTTGCACCTCAGGCACATGAACTCATACACCACTAGCAAGGTATTCAATGGATGTTGCTATTGTATATTCTGCACATTAACATTAATTTTGACTCGCACCTTTTTCTACTCTTGAAAATAAAAAACAAAAAATTTTATATTGCAGTGTACATTGTGTTAAGTACAAGTCAGTCATACTGTAGTATTCACTTTTGTGATAAGACACACAAATCCATCATACTACAGTGTCCATTAAGTGGTAAGACAATTCAACAGTGCAGCAGCCATGTCAACTTTGCAATACATACAAATAAATAAATCTTCCTTCAGTCCAAGAGATTTTTGAGTAAATGAGGCTCAACTTACTACATCATTTTTATTGTTTTGTTTCAAATATTTCTCCATTTACTTCTACAGATGGATGAGTATGCAATATTACCCTATGATCTCACCTTGGTCAAATTGTGTGTATCACAACCTTTTAACTCTCTCATGACCCCAAATTGACCTTTAGAGTTTATGTATTGTGTATCTTCACAAAATTTTGCAAGCTTTCAGTAAACATTACACGTCTTTTGTAGACAGAAAATCAGAATTTTTAATGAAATAATTTTACTAAACATTTCTTCATGAATATATGGAGTCATAGTGTTGACTGCTCCAAGTGCAAAATGATTTTCATGTTAAGATGAAAACATTTTTATTCATCTGAAAACTGTCAAATTTCATTTGCATAATCTCTAAAACTTCCTAAATAAATTACAAAAGTTTTTTCATTAAAACGTTATATTTTATGTGTTATTTTCTCTTCCCTAACCCTATATGCATTTGGCCAATTTGACTGACCTCATAACAGCCATAGGAAAACATGAAATAAATCTAAGTTACCTTTTTTCTTCCTAGAATGACTACATGTTGTAACAGAAAATACAATTGTTTATCCTAAATAGCTTAAAGCTTGTAACAATATCCATCTGTTTATGCTTAAATTTTATTGTTTTATTGCCCTTTGAACTGTGTCTAACTAATAATCCTGCCACAAAAGTTGTAAATAATTTTGGCAAACATGTAGCTCATGTTACAGTATCAAATTACGTAATGCAAGAACTACTCACAAGCATACCTCATAAAGATTTTTTCCCTTTATCTTACATAATCTAGCCTTAAACAAACTAATAAACTCCTACTTTTTCACATTTTAGTTACTTTTATAATAAAAAATACACATGAAAAACAAGAATTATAGTACTTAACTGAGTCTTTTTTTTGCTGTCCAAGAATCTTAAGCTTACTTTTTTTAAATCAATGGTACTACTACACTAAATAATTATTTATTTAATTACATAATGTATCTAAGAACACAGAACAATAACATGTAAAAAAGCAGACAATGTCCTATAACTATCATCATTTTACTGGCTTTCTAACCACGCAATAAGAGCCATTAACAATTCAGCTAAGCTCATCAATGTGTTTTCCGTGATAATAAAGGTCGAAGTGGAAGTGAAAAAGATAATTCTCTGTACAGAAAACAATATAGTAAAATACATCTGATAGATCAAAACTTTGTCTTTCTATTGGTTATAAATAATATTGTATAAACATTAAAACGTACTACTGGCAATTTCTGAAAGGGAGGATATGACAGATGAGTGAGACAAGTGGGTCTAATTTTCTAGTTTATGTCTCCATAAAAATATGCCCCCCAGTGGTACAGCAACAAGTCTGCGAACTTACAACACAAGAAATCGGGTTTCAATATCCATGGTTGGCAGAACCCAGATACCACTTTGTGCTTAATATCAAACAAACTACCCATAAACAAATAAGACTGAAGGCTATAAAAATTATA